CCCAGTTCCCTCCTCCCTCAGTTATAAAGATCTCTATGGAAAGTGTCCCATCAGATCCCCAAAACAGTATCCAGTGTGTTGCCAGTAAGTAAAAGACATAGTATCTCTCTCCTGCTCTCTATTGCTCGCAGCTCTTCCTTCAAGTGACTTCTGTCTGTATTGCAGAAGATTCAGCACTGTGCATGGGAGAGAACCCAATTGCTGGGCAGAGTGCAGGGAACTAGGACTTCCCACCCATTCCAATGGCCTGACTTCACTTCGCTCAGGCCCTTCCCTGGGTCACTTCAGAACATGTCCATCCTGACATGGCCTCTGAGCCTTTTGTGTTTTCCAGTTGTGGGTGAAATGGTTCAGAATGCAAATCAGAGGCAAGCTTTCTGTCTGAAGGATAGTTATGGTAGGACTGCAGGCCCCTTGGTTGTACTGTGATTGGCCCCCCAGAAGGTGTCTGCCTGGGAGGGTTCAAACTTCGTTTACCATCCCGGGAGCCCAAGTTTCTGCTTGTCCCTAGTGCTCTGAGCCTTGCATTCTCCTTAAAGAGGCAGATCTGGGTGGGTAGCAGGGTATCCTGCCAGGACTTCCTGTAACCTCCAGTCCCACCATGGACTCCTCCTGTTCTCAGACCCCCTTTGCATCTCCATCCTACCATCCCCTGTCTTCCTTCCTTGGCCCTCCCCGCTGCCTCACACCCTTCTAGCCTGGCTGAGGCCCTGGGTGTGAAGGAGGAATTGGGCCAGAAGCCACCATCTTGGCAAAGCCCTAGCATTCCTCTTGGGGATATTGAACACAAGGTCAGAGAGAAGAGAAGTGAAGAGAAGGAAGGGTGGGGTAAGCCCTAAAGAAGTAGGCTATTCTTCTGCACAGAGCTCAGGCCTGCGCACAGCTGACACTTTGATTCTCATGCCAGGGAAAAGATCTTCCAGTTGGAGTTACTCACTCTGATGCTTCCTTCACTGGCTCAGAACTCGATCGCAGGTAAAGGCCACTGGGTAGACTCTTTGGGGATTAGACTCAGCCACAGCCAGGAAGGTGAGGGACTAGGATGTCCCAGCCTGGCCCATGACACAGTAAAAGGTCTTGGCTAGGAGACAAGAGACAAAGGTGGAGGGATCTGATGACCGTGGGGGCCAAGTAACCTATGTGTCTTCTTGCCATGTACCATGGGGTTTCAGCCCACAAAGTTACCCAGTTCTAGAAAAGGAAGACACTGAAGGCCAGGGTTGGAGGGGGGGAAAGTGGAATGGTGGGAAACCTGACCTGATTTTAACACACATTAAAGCCAGAATGAATGGACACTAGAGCTGAAATATTTGAGGATGTGTGGACTAAAATACCAGTTTTACTGGTCATAGCAGTCCCCAGGAGAACTAACTAAATGGCAAAGATTTAGTAGAGGTAGGAACAGGAGTCAAAGGGCTAAGCCCCTGATGTCAGGGACCCCCAAGCAACCATGGTCCCAGAGCTCTTAACAGAATTCCATGTATATGAACAGAGGGAACAGCTTGATGATGCAGCACAAGGGGGCTCAGAATGGGAAAGGGAATCTTGGAGGCCCGAAAGCTTTTGTCTCAGTTCTTTCTGTAGACTCCAAGGCACGGCCGTCCTTTTCCTACCTGGGCCTGGAGTGGACAGGGATGGCTCTGAATGAGAACGAGCCCAGGCAAGGGCCCAAGCTAGCCCAGATCTAGAGGCACACGAATCTCCACCTAGATAACACTCACTGAGTTTGTAAGAAAACGCTTATGGGATCTTCTAATGATGAGGCAAAGCTGTCACTACAATGCCAGGACACAGCACTGGGGCAGCCCTCCTCCAGGAGGCTGCTGCCCAGGAGTCCCATGGCCAGTGTACATCTCTGCCTTCCTTCCCATCTCAAACCCACAACCAGGGCTTCATGCCCTAATCTACTGGTCTTTATGTGCATACACATTAGGAGAAAAGCAGTTTAGCTCTCCTGAACCATTTTCATTTAAAAATAACTTATACCAAGTCAGATTTATAATTCCCCAGGTTCAGGCAGTGGAAGAGGATTTGGACCAGGTTGAAATCACAGCCATATGGAGATGGCACTGCTCAACCACACTGGTGTTTTGCCAAATCTATGAAACTAGAAGGATGGAAAGATGACTAAGTAGCAAGATTGCCTTTCAGGGAAGAGAAAGCTCAGCAACATGATCTAGTTTGATAAGGATTAAGCACCAATGATCTGAGAGCATGATGTTTACTCCTGGGGGTTTAAAGATGTATAAACTGAGACAGCACTGTGCATGAAAACAGAATCTAATCTGTTTCAAAGCAGAGAAGGGCCAGGGGCCTCCACAAGGGCTTAGTCTTCTGGAGCATCTAGGAGAGATTCCATGGGGACCAGCCCCAAGGAGGGGCAGAGAGGGGTAGCACAAGCCTAAAGCACCATGTAAACATACAGGGCACAGAACAAGTAGAGGCCACCAGCGAAGCTCCTGCCTGGCCACCCAAAAGAACTTGGATTCTATCCTCTAAACAGAGAACTAGGCAGAATCCTGACTTAGAACAGTGTGACAGTGATGTGGGACAGGGAGAGACCAGTCAACATTCTGTGGCTGAAAGGGACGCAGATCGTGATGTGTTCAGGGTTCCTAAGGCAAGAGGACTTTGATCAGAGCTCTGCTCTGGGCAAGAGCCAAAGCCAGCTGAATCATCCTTCCTTCCTCCTCTTGTCCAGCATCACCTTGCACTTCAGAATTTCCTGTCCATCTTCACCTGCTTTCAACTACTCCCGGAGCCCCGTGTTCATGGTGCCACAGGTGAAGATAGAGATGGAGTCAGACTATGACTTCACAGACAAGGACAAATACGGAAGAGAGGCGGACGGCGAGACCACTCTCTAGAGTGGCACAGCTTCTCCCAGATCGGGGGCAGCGAGGGCCTAGCTTAGTCTTGAGCACATGAGAACATGACCAAACTCTTCACTTCTCTGTGCCTGTTTCCCTGTTTCCCCATCAGGGAGATTCCTATCTGATAGAAAACAGACATCTGTGACAAGTCCTGCTTAGATATAGCACTCTCACCTTCCCTTTGCAGTTGAGAGCCTAAACATTAGACAAGATTTTAAAATGCAGTCCAGCACAGAAACTACATACTTCTGACACGAAAAAGGCCTGTCTCTCCAAACTGTAGCTAAGATAAAGGGGCAACGGCACATTTATATCACTGTCTTAAAAGGTTAGATTTAAATCTAGATGGTCTGAAAGAATTCTTAAAATACTGTTATGTCGATAGGTCACAGCTGGAATATTTGAAAAGTTCTGTCTTTTCTGTCTTGTTCCTTTTTCAAAGTTTGGACGACCTGCATTAAGGGCCTCATTCCAGAAATGTGATGGGTGGGTGGGGTCTTCCCCAAATGGATAAAACAGTTCCAAAGTCTGCTAGAGGGAGAACCAACACTTGGGTTTCTACAATAAAACAATTCCTGCGAACTCTTAAGTCACTGGTTGGACCAGCCAAATGAGCTTTCAACTGCTTCACTGGTTTCTCACATTAAGTCAGATTTCTTTCTGCATTTGGATAGGTCTTCCAAAATCAAACCTCCATTCATGTGAACATCCCATATTAGGCAAAGCTAATTTAGAAATTATAACTTTGTAACATTAACTGAGCTAGTACTTGAGCAGAATTAGATGCAATTTGGGTAGACTAAAACCTGTCACTGGAGAAGCAAATTCTTTTTCCATGAAACTTAACACTCATTTTATCTTGAATCCACACCTAAAAAGTAGCCAAGCATCTGACATTCACCATCTCTTAAAACAAGCATCGATTTTGAGTATATCATTCTGGTTACTGCATTTACTCATGACACATGCAGGCGCTTTTTGTCTCCAAAGACAAATGACAGTTGATTATTAATCTGAGTAGCAAAACTCATTGTCTTGGTTAGTGGTCTCTCTTCACTTACCTCAGAGCACCCTTCCAACATACTGCTGAGGTAAAGCTCGGTAGCCTACCCATCCTCGGCAGCACATTTACTTAGCTATTCAGGAATGCAGTGACATCACTTGGGCTTACATCTCAATTTTAAATTTTCCTCTGTATCCACCCTGGGATAGCTAACATTCTACCCCTAATGTGTGTTTCAAAGCCTGGATGATTTGGAATAGCATTTTGTCCAGATTAAATTGTAGAACTGTTATGGATTCAAGAGTAACTGTGCTTGATGAATCAAACAAACTGTAAAACTACAATGTTAATTTTTTTTGTTGTAAATTAATCAGTCATTTTTACCTAAAATGGCATTTCTATTTTGTATATATACATTTTTATCTCAATAGCTTTTAACAGATCGGCATATTGCAAGTCAGTAATTTTATTCCACCTGTAATGCAACTGTCATTCAATAAAACTTAATATTGTCTGCCCACTGTGTTCCACATTCAGTAATGCAGGTGAGCAGTTATAACTGTAGCTCACTGATCAAAAATACTCCCAACACACTGTCATCTTTCTTCCCCAGAAAACTATCCAAAGGATTAAGCCAGCTGGAAGAACAAGGAAGGAGTAGGTCAACTCCCTGATAATTCTCTCTCCCATCTCAACATGCCTAGAGCAGGTGCCATCTCAGCCTACATTAAACCCCTGACACACATCTCTAGTTGAGAACACAGGGAGGACCTAGCTGGCTGGCAAGCACCTTCCTAGCAGCAGATCTGTGCCAGAAACACGTTATCAGAAAAATGGAGACTTGTACCAGGCAAGCACATCAAAAAGTGCTTTGTAGCAACATGTACCTTCAACCATGGTTTAGCAAGCACTCAGAACAAGAGTCATCACTTAAGTGCCTCTTACTGATTGAATCCCTAGTTCCACACTAACCTGTTGGAATGTAAGACTTAAAACGAGTAGGCTGGTGTCTCCATGGGTCCTCAGTCTATTCTGTTATAGAAATAGGTATCACCAAATATAAAGATTATACTCAGTGAAGAAAATTGTATCTGGTTAGGTAATAGTGGCAGGAAGACACAGGCTTTCAGAAACTCATTCCACACCAGACAGATGTGTTTTATTTAACACGCACTCACACATACAACCTCTCACAGAAAATCTTAGAATTAAGCTCTTCAAACCTGGGAAAGCCACCACAGCCCATGGTGGAGAGCAGGCAGCTACCAGCGAGTCTTTGGTGGAAAAGGAAGTTGGAGACTTGTACAAGCTGCTCTTGTGATTATCAAGCCCAAGTGGTGGTTTCCAAAAATAGGTTTTAAGAAGTACCAAAGATATCATAGCATTCCCACCCCCCAACACCCGCAAATAAAAACTTAACAATGAAGTCTAAGGCATAGCAAAAGCCAAACATCACAATAAATGTGAATAATTTACAAAACAAATCTTCCAACTCTAGAAAACTAAAATGGGGAGGCCTCTTGGAAGGGTAACAAACCTACAAGGAGAGCTAATAGCAGCCACAGAACTCCAGACACTGTCCCAGCAACGGGGAAGCTCAGGAACATGACTATGTGCACTCTTCTTTCCCATCCAGTTCTGTTCTTACACAAATCTGGCTCTCCATCAGCAGGTACACACATTTGCAATTTTTACTACTCAGTTACCATGATTTCCTCTTCACCTTTTCCCTAATTCTCCCTAGCAACATTTTTTTTTTTTTCCTTTGGTTTGACTGGTTGAACTCAGAAGGTTTGGAACCTGAGATCAACTCTTATTGGAATAGCACTTAGGAAATGTAATCCTGGAAAAGGCAAACTTTCAACTGACATGACTTCACAGAGTTATCATCCATTCCTGACGGGACAGTGGCTCCCACATTAACCATTAGGCTACTTGCTTGTCTTGGCTAGATTACACACCCCAGTGTGCCACTGGCCTCCCTCCCTATGGCACGACTGTAGAGCCATGTGTGCCAACTGCCACCCATTTAAACTTTCAATAAATACACAGCATCATTTTAAACCATCACAAGAGAATAAATTAAAATATATTGCATTTTCTGCCAGCCCGCTTGCTTCTTGAGTTGGTTTGGAGGGCTGCCCCTGGCTCGCAGGCACCAGTTAGCTGGTGGCTACTCCACGCTCTGTAGACTTGAGCACTTCCCGTTCTTCAGCCCTCAGCACTTTCTTGGCAGCAATAATGGTGTTCTTCATTAGCATTGCCACAGTCATGGGACCCACACCCCCAGGGACCGGAGTGATGTAGCCGGCTTTCTTCCTGACGCCTACGTGGGAACAGAGACAGGCATGACAGATGCATGTAAAGGAAAAGCAGGAGTGCACATGGCACCTTCATAAGCATCAAAGTCACTCAGAAGTCATATTCTCAAAAGTAAGGATTTTTTTACTTTTAAATTTTTATTGGGCCCAGCGTGGTGGCCTAGCAGCTAAAGTCCTCACCTTGAATGCACTGGTATCCCATATGGACGCCAGTTCTAATCCCAGCGCAGCTCCACTTCCCATCCAGCAACCTGTTTGCGGCCACAATGGCCAGAGCTGAGCCAATTCGAAGCCAGGATCCCGGAGCCTCTTCCAGGTCTTCCATGTGGGCGTAGGATCCCAAGGCTTTGCAAAGCTTTGAGCTGTCCTCCACTGCTTTCCCAGGCCACAAGCAGGGAGCTGGATGGGAAATGGGCCACCAGGACACGCACCAGCACTTATATGGGATCCTGGAGTATGCAAGACGAGGACTTGAGCCAGTAGGTTACCGCTGTTATGATCCAGCTTCCTGTTTATGGGCTAGGAAGGCAGCAGAGGATGGCTCAAATCCTTGGGACCCTACAACCACATGAGAGACTTTGGATCAGGTCAGCACCAACCATTTCAGCCAGTTGGGTAGTGAACCAGCAGATGGAAGATCTATTCTCTGTGTCTCTTTCTGTAAATCTGCCTTTAAATAAAAATGAGTATGTCTCTAAAACAAAGCAAACAAAGTCACAAATCTGTTTTACTTGTAATGTAAGTCTAAAGAAAAAATCAGCTTACTAAAAAGTTTCTCTCTGCTCTCCACAATTTTATCATATACCTAAATGACCCTAAAATGGCTAAAATAATTTTAAAAAGTATTTCTTATGAAAACCATTTCAATGTTATTATCAGGATAACATAAGTTTAAATGCTACATTCAAAATATGTTCTAAGTGTCCATTAAAAACAGTACTGATTGGCTTTCTATTTTTTATAAAAACTAAGCCATTTACCTTCAAAATCCACATCGCCAACCAGCTTGGGTTTAGCAGTTACGGGGTCTTGAACTCTGTTTATGCCCACATCGATCACTGCTGCTCCCTCCTTAATCATATCTGCGGTGATGAGGTTTGGGATGCCTAGAGATAGAGATGGGTGAACAACTCAGGACTGAAAAGGAGACTCTACCTGTCACATTCTCATGAAAACTGTTCATTAGGAAACCACCGCAGAGATTCTGAGGTTTTAGAAAAAACATTCAGTCTGTAGTAACAATACAGTGGAATGCCAGAAACCAGTGTCCCTTCCCCTGATGTAGCTGCATGTGTGAGTACAGGAAGTCTGGTCATCAGGGAGTGAGACAAGAGGTGTGACCTCACTCCTTCCCGCCCCAGCTTCCTCACCTGCAGCGGATACTACAATATCCGCGAGAATGGTGTGTTTCTTCAGCTGCTCTTTGGGAGTGTAGCGATGGGATATTGTCACCGTGGCATCACCTACACAGGGAAAAGCAGATGGCTTGACTGCCAAGTCAAGGGTAGGCCTGGACTGAATCCCAACCTGTCACATCACCGTACAAGTTCAGAATCTTGCAGAACTAATGCTTCTGCCACAGTTTCTGGACAGATAAATAACCTCTATTTTTTAAAGTTAAACCTAGTTTCTTATAGCTCGCTCTTATGGTCCCAGCTCTGTATTTTAGAGTTACCGCAATTAAATTTACTCCTGCTAAGCAGACTCTCAATTTTACCTATTATAATATCCTTCCTTTATTAATTATGGCAAAAGATCTCTGGAAAATAGTTGTTCTGTTATATCTGATGTAATCAGGGAAGGCCATAGTTATAATAATGAGCAGTAACCAATTTGTCTTTCAGTTAAATTTAATAGAATTTGGCATGACATAATCCAGTCATCAGTTTAGTCATTTACCACAGCCCAAAATGTTTCTTCTGCTAAATTCTAACTTTAAATGAAGAACCGCTTCTCAGCTCCCACTACCAAAGCTGTAACTACACGATTGTAAAGCCTACTTATACTGAACACTTGAATTTATTTCTGAGGCTAGTTGCACAATAAATGAGTATTAAGATAAAACTCTGAGGACACAAGCTGAACTTCTCTTCCAGGGTCACCATCTACACAGCCGTGAATTCATCACAACACATTCACACAGTAGAGCGAAGGGAATAACACCATCCAACTGTCCACTAGAAAGCTGTCGAAGGTTCTCATGGCAGGGACGAGAAGGGGCGTGGCGGGGAGGGCAGGTTCCTTACCTCCAGGCCGCTCATGTGCCCCATCCGTGTGCAATAACATTGCAATGGGCATGCCAACATTTTTGGACCTTCCAGCCACAACCACATTCTTCCCTAGGGTTGGGATGCCTAGGAGAACATTTCAAATACATACATTTACATGCAGCACAGAACCAGTCTATGCTGAGAATGAACATCAAAGGAAAAGGAAGTCAGATGGCCCAGCCAGCATGTAAATCCAGTTGCTCTGTTTTGGTTTTTATATATATGGGCATTTCCATCAAGTTGGGAAGAGACAGGGAAAGAGAACTTAACTTTCCTCTTCAATAAAGGGAGCAGGCCTTTTGATTATTTAGTATATTTGAAAGACAGATAGACTTTCCAGCTACAGGTTCCCTCCTCAGATTGCTTCCAACAGCCAGACCCGGGACAGACTGAAAGCCAGGAATGAAGGGCTCAATTTGGGTCTCGCATATGAGTCACAGGGACCCAACCACCTAACACCATCACCTGCTGCCTTCCCAGGGTGTGCACTAGCAGGAAGCTGGAATGGATAGTAAGGCCAGGACTAGAACCCAGGCACTTTGACATGGCTTACAGAACCCTAAGAGGCATCTTAACAACTGCACCAACCCTCATCCCCATCTCCCCAGTGAACCCCGTTCTGACTGTGGAGGATTTCTTGAGCTTATTGTCTCACCTATCAGCTGGAGCTACCACATCCAGCGAGGGCTAACAGACAAGAGTAAGTACCGTGTGTCCACAGAACGATTTGACTGTGCACTAATATTGAATCTCAAGTCTCCTGTGCTAAGGCTCTTGATTAAATGGCAAAACCCATCCAGGTATCTGCGAGAGAGGTCAGCTGTGGTGTGTGGTATGTACCCTGGATCTGCAGGGATTCTGCAAGGGCTTCTTTTCTAACACTGACCCAAACATCCAACTCTGGGCAATGCCTACCTGTTCGCTTAATTATCTCCCACACTCCCCACGGGGTGGCCGGGAGCATGGAATCCTGGTCCAAACACATGCGCCCAACATTGATCACATGAAAGCCGTCAACATCCTTGTAGGGGGACACAGCATTGCAAATCTTCCTCTCATCGATGTGTTCTGGGAAAAAAAAAAGAACCCTGTCATTCCAATCCAGTCCCGCACTTCAATTTACCTCCGCAATAGACCTCATCATCTGCAGAGAAGGGCCGCACATCCAGCAGGGCCCAGCTACCAGGGTCAATCAAGGCCAATATCCTCTTTTTTTAAGATTTATTTTTTATTGGAAAGTCAGATATACAGAGAGGAGGAGAGACAGAGATCTTCCATCTGATGATTCACTCCCCAAGTGAGCACAATGGCCAGTGTTGCGCCGATCTGAAGCCAGGAGCTAGGAGCCTCTTTTGGGTCTCCCACATGGATGCAGGGTCCCAAGGCTTTGAGCTGTGCTCGACTGCTTTCCCAGGCCACAAGGAGGGAGCTGGATGGGAAGTGGAGCTGCTGGGATTAGAACCGGTGTCCATATGGGATGCCAGCGCGTTCAAGGCGAGGACTTTAGCCGCTAGGCCACGGGCCCAAGATCCTCTTTTACAACAGACTGCTTCCACTATCCTTTGTATCACAGCCTCAGTATCAAGAGGAGGCACTGGTTTTCTGAGCAAGTCGGCCCCGTGTCTTAGGAAACCCTCCCTCATCCAGTTTACCTTGGCTTTGGATGAACCCCACATTAAGAGCTGGGCATACGAATTTAACTAAACCTCTCTACTGCCTGGCAAATATGTGGACCCCAAACCCACCTGGAAGAGGCAGCTGAACGAGGAGACCATCCACATTGTCATCGTTATTGAGTTTGTTAATTAAATTCAACAATTCTTCCTCTGAGATTGATGCTGGCTTCACAATTGTCTCGCTGTTGATTCCTGAGGGGGAAAAAATATGGTTTAAACCACATTGGCACATTCCATGGGCATGGCTAAGCCGCTGGCCACGCTTGGTATCAAGCAGGCTTCTTGTCATCACCCGTCCTGGTGGCTAAGGAGCTGACTTGGCTCCCAAGGAACAGAAACAAAGAAACTTCTCAGGTGTATAGGCATGAAAGTACAGGCCTCGCAGCCCCACACTTCGCATAATCGGTCTTTGCAATCTTTCTTAACCTTATTTTATGGGCCAGAACAACTAAAAGCATTTATCTTGCTAGTTCTACCATGCTAGCTCCCAATGTCTTCACAAGAGGCAGTGTGAAGGTTTTTAATGTTATCAGTGAAAAAGGCAGGTATGCAGCAGCCCTGCCCTGCCCTACAGAACAGAAGGGCACCTGGAGCTCAGGCCACCGGCGCGGAAGCACCAGATGAGTGGGCAGAAGCAATCCCGAGCCTGCCCACCTGCCTGTAGTCCCAGCATTCTGTAGTACCGCACAAAGCTCTAGCACACACCCGCATGACAGGCTTTGGACTCAATCAGTGAAGAAAGAGAAAACTGAATTGTCAGAAGTCCCAGCATTTCCTGGACCTCCAGGACTGCGGTCTCAGCCATGGAGTCCCTGATGCTTCCCAATAGTCTGTTGCTCAAACTTCCCCCACCTCAGCCCCTTGGCCTGCACAGTACAGGTGCCCCAACATAAAGCCACTCAGTGTCACTCAAGGAGGCAAGCGTAAAACACCTGCAAGGTCACCTGCACCATGCTCATACCCAGAACTGAACTTACACCTCTGGACACCCCAAGAATCTCAAACACATGCCACCCCACCCTAGCCCCTCCAGCCTGCCACATAGATCCAGCCCAGTTTCCTCAGGACAAATTCTAGCACACTGGCCTCCTGCACTGGGGTTTTTCACTTCAGAAAATGCAGGTGCACTGACAATGGCACGCACTTCTGATAAACCCTGATTGAACAGTGACACCTACCCACGTCAGCAGCTGCCCTGGTTTTGTTGAGAACGTAGGAGTGACTGGCAGGATTCTCGCCCACCAGGATGACGCTCAGATGTGGTCGCTTGTGGCCAGAGGCCACCCACTCTTCCACCTCCTGCCGTACTTCCTGCTTGATCTGCTGGGCTAGCTTCTTTCCGGAAATGACCACAGCCTCGTTTCTGCAGAAGGCAACAGAGTCATACAACCAAACATTACCCTGGCATTGTGCAAAAGGTAAAGCCATGGCCACGCAAAGTTGTTATGGATACCCGAAGCTTGGGTTCAAAGACCCTGGTGCCCAACCCAAGTACAAATGAAAGCTCAAGGGCAGATTCCAAGGGGCAAGTGTGGGCTCAGCTACATACTGAAGGGGACAAGGCTGATGGAGTTGAAGCAACTGACACCTAGTTCTCAGTCCCGACGAGCTGAGGCCCCTACCTCCTAGTGTCTCCTCCCCCGCTGTCCCCTCGTTGAGGGGTTCCGCTGTGTTTCTCTGCCCTCTCTCCACCACGACCTTCCAGTTTCTCCTAGATCTACTCAGAGTTCATTGAGTCATATGTTTCAGATGATTTCTGTTAGTGGACTGATTCTTGGTGTTTAATAGTGCTTTTATTTTTTTATTGCCTTTTTTTAAAAATTTTTAACTTTAGTTTTATATTTGCATTTTACTTCAAAGGCAGAGAGACAGAAACACAGAGTTTATCACAACCAAGCTCGCTCCCCAAGTCCCTGCAGTAGCCAGGGTTAAATCAGGAAGGAGTCAGGTGGCTGGGACTCCATCTGTCTCCCGTGCAGGTGTCAGCAACCCCAGCAGAGAAGCACCATTTGTTGCCTTCCATTGTGCACATTAGCAGGTTTCCCACTAGGCACTCTGATGTTGGATGTGCGTGGGGGCTGGCAGTGTGGCATAACGCATAAATCTATTTCCTGCAGCACCAGCTCCTATGAGGGCACTGGTTCAAGTCCCAATTATTCCACTCTAACCCAGCTCTCTGCTAATGTGCCTAGGCGGGCAGCAGATGTGGGAGAGCCTGATGGAGTCCTAAACGCCTAGCTTTGACCTAATCTAGCCTTAGGCATTGTGGCCACTGGTGGAATGAACCAGCACTTAGAAAATCTCTCTCTCTCTCTTTTTTCTAATTCTGCCTTTTTTTTTTTTAAGATTTATTTATTCTTATTGGAAAGTAGATATACAGAGAGGAGGAGAGACAGAGAGGAAGATCTTCCGTCCAGTGGTTCACTCCCGAAACGGCCGCAATGGCCAAAGCTGAGCCAATCCAAAGCCAGGCGCCAGGAGCCTCCTCTGGGTCTCCCATGTGGGTGCAGGGTCCCAAGGCTTTGGGCTATCTTTGACTGCTTTCCTAGGCCATAAGCAGGGAGCTGGTTATAAGGATGGGAAGCAGGACTACTGGGATTAGAACTGGCACCCATATGGGATCCCGGCACGTTCAAGGCAAGGACTTTAACTGCTACGCTATCGCACCGGGCCTAATTCTGCCTTCTAAGTAAGTGAAAACATCTTAAAAATCCCATGCAATCAAGGCATTCCCTTTAGTTTCTGTCCTCAATATCATGAATTCAGTGTCATGCTCCAACCTAGAGACCAGTGAACATCAGCTTCCTTGCAACAGCACAATTTTAATTCTCAGAAATGACATCACATTGGACATTTCATATGGTCAGATAGAATTAATTCTCACGGCCATTTTTAGAGCTTTAGTAATCTTAAATCCCCCAGGTCCGCTCTTTATTTGCATGATAAAATAGCATAAATTTTAAGCTACACTGTAGCATCTTAGATTTCTTTTTTAAAAAAGATTTATTTATCATTATCAGAAAGGCAAATCAGATTTACAGAGATAAAGAGATACAAAGATCTTCCATCTGCTGGTTCACTCCCAAGTCACCGCAATACCAGAGTTGAGCCTATCCTAAGCCAAGAGCTTCTTTCAGGTCTCCCATGTGGGTGCAGGGTCCCAAGGCTTTGGGCTGTTCTCCACTGTTTCCCCAGGCCACAAGCAGGTAGTGGAAAAGCCGGGGCATGAACGGGTGCCCATATGGGATCCCGGAGCTTATAAGGCAAGGACTTTGGCTACAGAGACATGGCTCTGGGCCCAGTTTCTTATATTTAATGCAGTATTTTATAATCATCTGTTTTGCATCCTGTAAAGTATTTAATTTCATAATTTGCTGGCTCAAATCTTATGGAATCATGTAGCATTGCAGACAATGTTCTTAGCATTTAATTTTTATGCATAGTATGGTCAATTGAAATAGTATTAAGTCTACATAACTGTACTCATACATCTTTTTTCCAATCATTATTTCTTAATAATATAGTCAGACAACTGTTTACGTGGCATTTACATTGTATTAGGTATCATCAGTAATCTGCAGATGATTTAAAATTTTGAAAGGATGCGCATACATTATAGGCAAATATTTGTCATTTTATATAAGGGATTTCCACACCTGAGGATAAGATACAAAGGGATTACTGTGTGTATCCACAAGTATGCATACACACACACAGACATATACATGTCTAAGATGCACAGGCATCTTATACAGACCGGTAAGGAGATAAACTGCATTCATAATAATATTCAGTGAGAAGGACTTAGCTTGCACTTCATACAAAGTTGCTTTGGAAATGATGCACTTTGCATTTGGACCAAAAGCAACAATCTACACTTAAGGACACAGGGTTCTGGAAGAAGTCAGCGTTCCAAGTCCCAAGCTTTGCTTTCAAGGGCAGGTTCTGGATGTTATGCCAGTTTACTTTTAAAACACAGCATTGTCAAAGTGACACAGACCAAAAACAAAGCCACAATGCATGACCAGATTTCACAATTCAAATGTGCTCCAGCTGACCCCTGCTCCCCACATCCTATGAAACATGACATAGCCCTGTGAGTCACTGGCACACTCATGGATTTCCCATCATCTCTTGTGCCCAGAGAGGAAGTCGGTAAAGTAACGGTTACCTCTCCCCAAAAGAAACAGGCAGCAGAGACAGAGCCATCTCGGAAAATCAAAATGGTTTAGCCATCATTTATTTAGCAATTCAACGCTTGCATAGATGTCATTTGAAAAAAAATAATTAGGGCCTGGGCACTGTAGCCTAGCGGCTAAAATCCTCACACATGCCAGGATCCCATGACTGCCAGTGTCCTGGCAGCTCCACTTTCCATCCAGATCCCTGCTTGTGGCCTGGGAAAGCAGTCGAGGACGGCCCAAAATCTTAGGACCCTGCACCTATGTGTGAGACCTGGAAGAGGCTCCTGGCTCCTGGCTTCAGATCGGCTCAGCTCTGGCGATTGAGGTCACTTGGAGAGAGAATCTTCAGACAGAAGATCTTCCTCTGTCGCTCCTCCTCCCTCTATATCTGACATTCCAATAAAAATAAATAAATCTTTTAAAAAATTTTAAATCAATGAATTCACAGACTAGGGAGATGATTAGTTAAATGCAAAATGAAAACCTGCCAGGAGCATCTTCATCTCGCTGACAGCTTTAAGGACTGCCATTAGTCGTTTTGGCAAGGGTTCTATTATATACTAATAGGGAAAGACACAAAGGGAAATAGCACTGAGGTGCTTATTGCTAAGTACTGTAGCCAGCTTATTCTCATGGCTACCTGTGAGCTGTAATAGCTCTGTTCTACAGAAGACAAACTCAAGGCTAGCAGAGACAAGCAAAGCTCTGCAAAGCCCCAGTCCGCCTGTGACTTCAGCACCCCCTTCCCTACATGATGAACCTCAGCCCTGAATGCTCCAGAAGGAATACATAGAATGGGATTTCTCACACTACAACTGGCAGTAGGCAAAGCAGCAAGTGGGAGCAGCATAAGCAGGTGCATGTTAGGAAAATACAGACTGCCCACAGAGGCATGTCCCCCCTAGGATCTTCCAGCAGGCAGGGGAACCGAGGAACATTTGTAACCAGGAGTGTAAGCATCATGTCCTTGTTCTTTTACATTTACCTGTTTCACTTTTATCTGGAAGGCCATGACAGAGGCAGAGACCTTCCCTTCACTGGTTCACTCCCCAGACGCCTGCAACAGCCCAGGCTGGACCAGGCTGAAGCCAGGAACCTGGAACACATTCCAGGTGTCCCAAGTGGGTGGCAGGAAGCCAAGTGCTTGAGCTGCCTGCCCGCCAGAGTGCCCATGAGCAGAAAGCTGGATCAGAAGCAGGGGTAGAACTTAACCCCAGGTGCTGTGAAAGGGGAAGGGGGCGTCCCAAATGGTGTCCTAGCCAGCCCTGAAGTGGTCTGATTCTTTAAGTAATGAATTGGAGCATCTTTATACAGAGGTGTGATCACAGGCACACGTGGCCAGTGCCCAGAGGCTCGGCAGAGGACGGAGAGTTGTGGGAAACGGGACTGGAGAGGTTGGCCAGGATCATCAGGCCAAAGCAGGACTCTGAATGTCCCCTCCCAGATGTGTCTTCAGGGCCCCAAGGGGCCATTCTCTGCTTCTGGTACCTGGGAGGTGTCCCTGACAGCGTTTCTGCAGCAAGTGAAAATTATCAGGTGTTCACTCCCTGATAGGAATGTTTACTCCACCACGGAGATATTTTTCCATCACCTCTGAATTTACACACCTGGCACAGCGTCTGCTACATGGTCAACATCGGCTAGAGGGAAAAAAGGAGCTGCACAAGGCATGGGTTCCAGCCATGCCAATGCCCTAAGAATGTTCCAGGTGAGCCCAGAGCTGGGGAGAGAAATCACAGCCCCTCCACAAGACTCTTGAAGCCCAGGCTTGAGATTTGAGTGGGTGTTTGGCACAGCCAGTTTGTGATGCCTAGCTTCCACCTCACTCAGCCCTGGCTGTTGCTGGCACTTGGGAAGTGAACCAGCAGATGGAAACTCTCTCTTTCTTCCTCTCAGTGTCTGTCTCTCAAACAAAATGAAAAAGGGGGAAAAAAATGAATCTGAGGTCTAGAAAGTTGAGGAAAATCTAATGAAAACAAAGAAAGCTTTTCCTTTTCTCCAGGACATTTTATGTTTCTATCTCTCTGTCATTACAATAAAACACAAATAACACCAAAATTGGTCATCCTACCCCCGCCCCCCAGCTGCACATCTTCATAAAGTTATGCAACCAGTATCGCCATCCATCTCCAGTACCCTTCCTCTAGTCAAACGCAAACTCGCTCTGCATGGCACAATAACGCTCCATTCTTTCTACCCTCCCCCAGGCCCTGGCAACCTCGGCCTCCTCAGCCTGGCACTGGCCCGCTCGGGGTGGGCTGCAGTCAGAGCCAGGGTGACCACAGGGCACCCAGCCTGCCTGCGGCGGGCAGAGACGCGCGGGCCACGCCCCCGGGGCGGGCAAGCGCGCCGGGCGATTTCATCAGACTGCACCGACCGCGGCCGCCGCTAGGGCCCCGGCAGGGCCGGCTCGCCCAGGGCTGCTCCGCACGAGCCTCGGCCGCCGCTCGCCCAGGAAGTCCTCCCTGCTTCCTCCGAGACTGCTCTCTGCATCCCAGCCCGGCTCGCCCGGCGGGCTTCCGCTCGTTCCCTTTCGTTAAATTCCCACACACATCCCGGGCGGTCCCACAGCCCCTCGGTGCCTGTCGGCGGACTGGCCCCGTGCGCCGCGGGGAGACCGGCTCCCCCTGCGGTGCCAGCCCACCTGGGAGCGAGCACCTGGGTGGCGGACTGCGGCCACGGCTCGGGGCCACGGCGCCTCCCGCCACACCCCCTCGGGCGCCGGGATGCTCGGGATGGACATCCCTCGGTGCGCGCTCGGGAGCCCCGGTAGTCCTCCACCTCCACAGCCCTCCGGACCCCACTCACCGGACGGCAGCGAGGTGGAAGGCACGATGCCGCAGGCGGCAGCTCTGCGCGGGCCGGAGCAGCCTGGCAGCCAACACCGAGCAGAGAGTAGCCGCAGCCATGGCCCGCACCGCTGCCCGCGCCGGGAGGGAAGCGCGCGCGCTGCCTGCTCGGTTATACCGGCGCCGCGTGGCAGACCCCGCCCTCCGCCGGCGTCCATTGGTCCGCGCCCCGTCCCTCCGGCTGTCGTCGGGGTGGATGGCGCCGAGGGAACCAATCGGTTGATTTCATCAAACGTAAGCCAAGTCCCTGGAGCGAAGCGGGGGGCGCAAAGCGGGGGCGCGAAGGACTCTAGCTGTCCGCGATTGGCCGAGAAAGTCAAGCCCCTGCCACGGCTGATGTTACCAAAGCCGAGACCCCGAGCGATAGCAGGTTCATTCATTCCTTGAACAAATGCCTACTGTGAACCAGGTCCTTAAGGAGGGGATTACAAACACAGGCAGGTGGAATACCAACGAATAGAGAAATGTTGCCTAGAAGGAAAGACGGAGTAGGAAAATTACTATGGGGTGCTGGTGCGAAGGCATGGCTGGTTAATCCTCTGCCTGCAAATGCCAGCATCCCATATGGGTGCCAGTTCCTGTGTTCCAGCTGCTCTTCTTTCCATCCAACTCCCTGCTTGTGGCCAGGAAATGCAGTGGGGGATGGCCCCAAATCTTGGGACCCTGCACCCACATGGGAGACCAGGAGGAAGCTCCTGGGTCCTGGCTTCAGATTGGCTCAGCTCCCAGGTGTTGGCCACCTGGGGAGGAAACCAGCAGTTGGGAACGCTGGCACTATGTCTTTTTCCTTCTCTCTCTCAAATAAAGAAATGACTTTTTAAAAAAGAATTTAGGAGCCTATAGAATTGTATCATAAAATAAAATAATAAAGAATATGGGAAAATGTACACATAACGCTTCTCAGAGAAAAAGATTCCACCCTACTCACACACCCCACAGCAAGTAGTTCTCCACTGGACAGTTCCAACATGTCTTGCAGGTAGCATCAGATCTCACTGCCTCGGGTCTCAGTCCCACAGGACTGTCCCTGCCTTTGGGTGCCAATCACAGCGCTGTTACCTGCATAACTGATCAACGGGCTATAAACCAAGACTCACTTTATTTCTTTGGGTTTGATTAAATCTGCTGGGACACCTCATGGAAACCAGGAACACACTTGTTGATCAGTTTATTATCAAGAATATTAACTAAGATCCAAAGGAAAGGCCATAACACAACGCTCAGCCTTGTGCAAAGCAAGGACTGGGGCCCAGGAGAAACCAGTGCTGCCAGCACGTGAGCGCACACCTCAGCTTCCCAGATGGCGAGAAAGTGAACGTGCAGTGTTCAAGCTGCCTGGCTCCTGCTGTTCCGCTAGGGTAGCCCTAGGAAGTGCCACGTGCAAGTGCCTGTGGGTGTTTTTCTCTGAACCCCTGGAATGCACGTAGCAGACACAATGTCCCTTTACCTATAGGGACTGTGCACTCTCATATGATCACATTGGGACTGCAGGCCAGGCATTTGGCAGAATGCACTGGCCAAGGTACAGGACAAGGAACCTCCGTCAAGGTCACATGCACTTGAGGAAATGGTTCTTCCTGAAGATAACACTCTACCAAGCCTCCTTCCCTGGCTCCACCCCTCTCTCCCTCCAGCCTACCTAACTTAACCTTCTCTCCTTTTCTTCTTCTTCCTCTTTTTCTCTTTTCTCTTTTTTTTTTTTTTGTTTTGCTGTGGGATAAAGGCCCCTTATTAATGTTTTATATTTACAAAAACATTATATGGTTGTTTCAGACCATAGAGATGGTATTCTACCAGAATCATTAAAGATTCTGTCAGCAGTACCAAAAAGCTGTTGTGGGAACGGTCACTTGTCATCCTCAGCTAGGTGGCAACTCAGCATGGTTTCTCTCATGATCTCCTTACAGTTACAAATAAATTATATGGAAAACATTGTACACTTTTTCCTGTTTAACCTGATTTTATTGCACTCAACAGTCTGAGTCTGAAGGCAGTAGTAATTCTGGAGGAAGTTATGTCTTGCTGAGAATAATGAGACTAACAGGTAGCACCTACAATGTGAGAGTTGCTGTTCTAAGTGCTGTATGCTCAATCACTGAGTTAATTCCCACAATAACCCTATACAGGAGAATACTGCCATCATCTTCTGTGAGATTCAGAGATTCTTTGGCCCCTCCCCAGGATCAGGTGACTTGTTAATGGCAAATGTAATTTTCAAATCCATTTCCTTTCTTTTGCAAGACACAGGAAAAAGGAAGTTCTTAGCTTTTCAAGAAAAGGATAGAAGTCAACAGTGCAAGAGTTCCTCTCTGAAGCTAATCATAAGGAGGCAGAAGTGGGATTGGGTGCCGATTTCTCAGAGGAGGGAGCTCCACAAAACACGGCCAATGGACACCCTTTGTTAGAGCCATTTTACATGTCCCCTTGTTAAAAGGCAACCTGTTGTCACTACAAGGCACTTGAAACCACCTAATGAGACATTAGGAGGCCGAGCAGCGGCAGGACAATCCTGACTTCCCCCAGCTCCTCCCACTCCTGTCAGGGTCCTGTCCCTCCCCCCTCACCCATTCCCCACCTCACCCAATAGCATCCACTGTTCCTCGCTCCTGAACAGTGAAATGGAGTCGGAAAAGGAGAAAAGAATCCAGACCTCCCAAGGTGACCACAGGCATCAGTTGGTAACTTCCAGTCCACATTCAGGCGGGATCCTTCAGTGGAGTGGATCCCTCTTTAAACACTCATGCCTTAAACCTGCCCTCATTTCACGCCTACTTCATTGCTTGCTCCATCTCAGATTCCTTCGCAAGTTTCTTTTGTTTCTGGTGTTCAATTCTCAGAGCCATCCAGGCTCTGTTGGTGGGGGGTGGAAGCGTGCTTTCACTCTCCCCTCCCCCAGGGCTATTTTGTCTGCTGTCCTGGCTGTAAACCTCTGTGTTCTGTTAACTGCTGAGTTTATTGAGTTTATCTCCTCTCTGGTCTCTATATTGAGTTCCAAATCTGCGGACACTTCAGAATTAATGCATTTGGAACAGACTTCTAAAATTGCATTTCTCCCAGTCTCTTGCACCTCAGTAAACGCAAACAATCAGCTACTTGTACTATGTCTTGCTTCCATTGCCATAGTCCAGGTCAACTTTCTCTCCTGCCTGGACAAGTAGAGTAACTTAACTGTGGTGACTCTGTGTGTGTATGTGTGTGTGTGTGTGTGTGTGTGTGTGTGTGTGTGTGTGACACAGAGAGAGAGAGAGAGAGAGAGAGAGAGAGAGAGAGAGAGACTTCCCCTGAAAACTTGGTAACCATTGGTCACCTTGTTTTAAAGGTTCTGCACCGCTGCCTTCATCGCCTTCACTTTCTCCTTTGCCTACCATATTCTCATCACGTCGGCTTCTCTCAGTTCCCCATTCACAGTAGACACTTGCTTCGAAGCTTTGTTCATGCTGTTCATGGAGCATATGCCTTCTCTTATACCGCAAACTTCTCTCTTGGAAACCACACTTAAATAATCTTTCTGAAACTTTGGTCTCTCCTGTCACATGCTTTTATTTTAAAGATTTTTTTTTTCCAGGAAAGTCAGATTTACAGAGAGAACAAAATACAGAGAGAAAAATTTTCCATCTACTGGTCCACTCCTCAAATGGCTGCAGCAGCCAGAGCTCAGCCAATCTGAAGCCAGGAGTCAAAAGCTTTTTCCAGATCCCCCATGTAGGTGCAGATCTCAAGGCTTCAGGCCACCTCTGCTGTCCCAGCACCAGGGCAGTGGCCACGTGAGAGGGCCTCAGAGTGGGGGCAGGCTTAGGCTGTTACCGGAAAGCAGGAGTTTTGCAAATGATAGGGCTGGTCCTTACTCAAAATGAAAATGCAAGTTTGCAAATCCTGCCCTAAGAGGCTCAGAAAGGGAACTGAGTGACTGGGGGTGGAGACAGTGTGGAAAGAGAGTAACCAGCAGCTCTATAACAAGTGGCTTGGCTTCTGCTCCCTGCACCTGCTGTCAGATGGTGTGCACCAATCCCTGGAGCCTCCAGCCTGCTGAGTCAAGAAGGAATAAAAGATCCCTGGTCTCTGGAGAGCCCAGTCGCCCTGAGCGAGGAACAGTTACTCTTTGATCCCTAAGTGGACTTGGTCAAATACTGACCTCCAAATTTCCTCCTAACGCCAAATTCTTGCATACACCTCCCTAAATCTAGCTGTCCTGAGAGGGTGGGCTTTCAAATTCTCAGTTGTTCTCCGACTTGAAGAAGAAATCCATTGAAAGGGCATCCATGTGTATCATGAATTGCTTTCTTAATATGTGGAAATGTTCACACTGACATATATTATCAAAATTACACAAAGTTTGAAGAAAGTCTAAGTGTTCTTGCTGTTTATAGTTTTTGTAAAGCCTTTCCGAATGACACATAATTATAACTTAAATGCCAACAACATTGCAAAATCTGAAAAATAAAAACAGTATCAACTTAATGTGATGAGTGGTGCATAAATGCAATCACGAATATGGAATATCAAATGACAGGTACAGAATGAGCTCTTTTTTCTTTTTCAAGATTCATTTATGGGCCTGGTGGGATGGCTCAATGGGTAAGTCCTCACTTTGCAAGCACCAGGATCCAATATGGGAGCCAGCTTGTGTCCTGGTTGCTCCACTTCCCGTCCAGCTCCCTGCTTGTGGCCTGGGAAAGCAACGGAGGCTGGATCAAGGCCTTGGGACCCTGCACTCATGTGGGAGACCTGGAAGAAGCTCCTGGCTCCTGGCTTTGGATCGACTCAGCTCTGGCCTTTGCAGCCACTTGGAGAGTGAAACATCGAACAGAAAATCTTTCTTGTCTCTCTTCCTCTCTGTATATTTGCTTTCCAATAAAAATAAAAATAAACCTTTGACAAAAAAATAAAAAGCAATAAAGTCCTGAAACATACTATCACCTGGATAAAGCATCATGTACATTATGTTAAGTGAAAAAAGTTGATCCCACAAGACCCAAATCGTATTGGATGATTCAGTTTATAAGAAACGTTCGGGTTAGGCAAAACTATAGAAATGAAAGAACAACTATCAGGAGAAAAAAATCTAATTAACCTGTGCTGATGGGGTCGTGGACTAGTGTAGAATTTGGCAACAGTGATGAATGGACAACTCCATGATTACATAAGGAAAATATTAACAATAACACTGGAGCGTAGATTTGCAATGAGTGAATCTCAGACTAAGGGCATACGTCCCAATTTAAAAAGCAAGTTGCAGCGGTGGACAGCGCCAATAAAGGCCGCTCTGCCGGGCCGCCGGACGGCAGCCCCGCCGCCCGGGTTCCATCAGGCCCGCGGCGAAGACCGGCTTCCCTCTCTCCGCCACCGCGAGGGACGCCCCGCGCCGCAGCACGCTCATTGGCCGAGCTCGCGGCGAGAGGCGGGGCGAAGAGGGGCGCGTCCAGTCCCCCTCCATGGGGGCGGGGCCGGCGCCAGCCTCAGCTCGCGAGACTTGGCCGGTTCCGCATTTCGGGGCAGCGAGGCGGGGGAGGCAGCGAGGCCGGCGCCGCCGTGTTCCCGGGACTGCAGCCGCCGCGTCCCTGCGTGCGCTGCCCGCGAGTGAGGAGCGGCGGGCCCCGCGTCGCCGCCGGACGCGCCTCCGAGTCCTGAGCAGGGCGGGGGCCGGCGGCCCTCCGTCTCCTCCGCCGACCGAAGATGAGCTTCCTCTTGTGAGTGAGGCCGGGCCGCGGTCGGGGAGCGCGTCGGGCGGCCGTGGGGCGCGGGCCGTGTGGCCTTCCTCCCGCCCCGGGCCCCGGGCGAGGCCGGGAAGGTGCCGCGGACGGGCGGGAGCGGGGAGGCCGGTGGCGCCTCCCAACTTTTCCGCCCGAGCGTGCCGGGGGCGGAGGGTGGATGGGGGCGGAGCGCAGGCCCGCCAGTGCGCTGGGTGGACGCCCGGTGCGGAGTCAGCTGCTTCCTCCGCCGCTGGCTCGGCTTACTCGTGACCCCCGCGGAAAAGGTGGCAAGATGGGCCTGCCTGCAGACCCTGGATTCCTGCTCCGGATTCTACCCGCTTGCGGGTTGGCTGCCTTCTCCTTTATTTTTAATAATTCATGTTTTTCATTTTCTTTTTGCTTAGATAGTTGCGGGATGCATGCCTAGGTGGGCCTCTGATGAGGGTGGAGAGGGGAAGGTATGGAGGAACGTGGGTGGGCCAGATTTTTTTTTTCCTCCTTCGTCCTTACGGGAGGTGGAGGAGGGACATCAGCGCCCTGGTATGGAAGACGAGCCTTTGATCCTTTGATGCCTCAAAGACCCCAACGTGGGGAAGAGTTTTAGTTGAATGGTTTGATAGTTATGAGGAGCTACAGATTTTGTTGCTCCGTGTTTTAAAAAAAATCTTTCCAAATCTGTTGGTTGACAGACTACCTTAGTGCATCTGCAGACCCTGGAACTTGCAGCAAAGCTTGGCCAGGAGAGCTGTCCAACCTGTTTGCTCTCTAGTTGCCGTGTCCTGCTGACCTACATGAGCTGACTGTCATGCCCCATGTTCATCTGGGCATGCTGTCTGCTGCACAGCAGCAGCTGAGGGGGCCTGTTCTGACACATGCACTCCGAGGTTGGGCTATACATCCTGTGATTGTCCCCGTGGGCCAGGTGTGAGTCCTGTGGTCGAGCTGGGGAGGAACCTTGTCTGGGGTGACCGCACACTTGACTCTTCTGTGTGTGCCGAGCAGTGCAGGGCTAGGTTAGGTTCGGCCAGTTAACTGCACCAGCAGTGCACATAGCTGTGGATGCAAGCTTGCCTGGTCAGTTCCACCCTGGCACCATATCATGTGAACTGACATACTGTGGCACCAATCATCCAACCCACCACAAACTTAGTCCTCATGAATACCAGTGGGTCCCGCAGTGTTGTCAGGACAACCAGCAGTAACCACTACGGTGCAGCGTCAGACCCCCCACCCCCCATTTTGTTTGTTGCAGCCTACCCTGGCCGGCTCACATCCCATCCAGTTTTCAGGCACACCCAGGAGTTCTGTGGTATACCGTAGCCTAACCTGACCCCCAGACGTGGCCCACACATATGCTGACAGGTGCTGCCTCCTTGCAGCCTGGGTTCTTGTGCTAACCAGCGGGAGGTACAGCCTGGCAGGAGAGTGCCCGCAGTTTCCCCTGCCAGGCATGCGCCCAGCGCTGGATCTTGTACCTGCGAGGGAGGTCTGTGGTCCAGCCTGACATGACTTCGACCCAGTCCAGGGACTTGCATACTGTGCTGCGGCCTAGCCCAGCTGGCTTGCACCCATTCTGGCTCTCGGGTGCACCAGTGGGTGCAGGTGGCCTTCTCTTGTTCATAGAATACAGTTTTATAGATAGTACCTAGACTCAAAATGGCTTAAATGGAAAAGCTTCTGCTCCATGAAATGTGAGCAGCATAGCTCTGGCATCATGTGCCTTAAGCTCAAGGGGCTGCCTCTGCCTTGGATAGTGCTTCAATGTGTTGCACAATGGAATAAATACCCAACTGCAGTTGGGGATGTAGCGTATTTTACATTTTAAGTACCTCATGTCCAGACTTTATTGTAAAAATGTTATTCTTTCCTGGCCCCAGCACCCAACATGGTAACCTAGTGGCTAAAGTTCTTGCCTTGCATATTCTGGGATCCCATATGGACACATGGATGTCAGTTTGTGTCCCAGCTGCTCCACTTCCCATCCAGCTTCCTGCTTGTGGCCTGGGAAAGCAGTTGAGGACAGCCCAAAGCCTCGGGGACCATGCACCCACCTGGGAGACCTGGGAGAAGGTTCTGGCTCCTGGCTTTGGATCAGCGCAGCTCTGCTGGGTGTTGCAGCCACTTAGAGAGTGAAACAGTAGACAGAAGATCGTTCTGTATCTGCTTTGTATATCTGCCTTTCTAATAAAAAAGAAAAAATGCTATTTTTTTCCAGCATTTTGCTATTATAGCACTACTTAAAATACCTGCCCTTACCATTCCTCATATCAACCTTCCTTTGGGTCATTAAGGGAGAAGTCTCCAAAATCCAATTATCATGTCATTAAAAACTAAGGTTTAGGTTTAATTGCCAGTTTCCTTTCGGGTACTGTTAACCCCAAGGCTTCTGAGCTGATGTTTTTAGTTAGTGGTTGGCTTGTGGATGCACAGTTGCTTTTTAAACCGCAAATTGAGATTTTCTTTTTCATTGTAATGTCTATGTTTTATTTATTTACTTTAAAATATTTATTTATTTTTATTGGAAAGTCAGGTTTACACAGAGGAGAAGGGACAGAAAGGTGCTTGAACCACTGGTCTGCAACAGCTGGAGCTGATAGCTTTTGGCTATCCCAGCTGCCTTCCCAGGCAACAGGCAGGGAGCTGGATGGGAAGTGTAGCAGCTGGGGTTAGAACCAGCGCCCACATAGAATGCTGGAGCATGCAAAGCAAGAACTTTAGCCACTAGGCTGCTACACTGGGCCCCAAGAGTTTTAAAAATACATCCTTATATAAGTCCATTATCACATCTGTGACCTGAATGTTTTCCTGCGTTTTGTGGAGCATTTTCTGTTAGGATTGATGGGACAAACAATGAGAAGGTGCTTAACGGAGAAATTATTGTATTAAACATGAGGGGAGATGGTATTAGGTCTTGGTTATTCCAAGATAGTAGGTGTTTTTGGCTTGTGATAAGCCTCTAGTCCACTGACACTCTTGGCTCCTTCAGTTTTCGCTGTCATTTGAAGCACAAAAAATCATTTTTTTCTTTTATTTGTGTGTGTGTTTTAAGATTTATTTTATTTTATTTTCATTACAAAGTCAGATATACAGAAAGGAGGAGAGACAGAGAGGAAGATCTTCCTTCTGATGATTCACTCCCCAAGTGAGCGCAATGGCCAATGCTGCACCGATCCAAAGCCAGGAGCCAGGCACTTCTTCTAGATCTCCCACACAGGTGCAGGGTCCCAAGGCTTTGGGCTGTCCTCAACTGCTTTCTCAGGCCACAAGCAGGGAGCTAAGTGGGAAGTGGGGCTGCTGGGATTAAAACCGGCGCCCACATGGGATCCCAGCACATGCAAGGGGAGGACTTTAGCCACTAGGTTCCACGTCGGGCCTGAGAGTAATTCTTTATCATATAAAAAACTTTCCATATTTGATTTTCTACTTCTTAATCAGTCTTACTTACAATATGTGTTACTCAGGTAAAGTAATAGTCTCTGGTTGTGTTTTTTTCTGTTCCTGGAAGTAACCATCAGTTTGCATACTTTCTGTGTATTCATGAAACTATCCTTTGTAGAGCTTTACATGAGAATATGTGTGCTCTGGATTTTATTATTAATAAGTCTACAGTACTCCAAAATATGGAGGTACAATAGTTTATTCCTTTGCTGGTGAACTCTTATTGTTTTTTTGAGATTTATTGATTGATTTTTTTTTTTAAGATTTATTTTTATTGCAAATCAGACTACAGAGAGGAGGAGAGAGAGAGGAAGATCTTCCATCCGATATTTCACTCCCCAAGAGGCTGCAACGCCCGGTGCTGTGCAGATCTGAAACCGGGAGCCCACATCCTCTTCCGGGTCTCCCACATGGGTGCAGGGTCCCAAGGCTTTGGGCCATCCTCTACTGCTTTTCCTGGCCACAAGCAGGGAGCTGGATGAGAAGTGGAGCTGCTGGGATTAGAACTGGCACCCACATGGGATCCTGGTGCATTGAAAGCGAGAACTTTAGCCACTAGGCCATCGCACCGGGGCCGGAGTTCATGTTTTTTCTTTGGATTAAGTGCCTTTACAACAGATTTGCTCACAGGGCATGATAAAATTGCCTTATTTATGAAATTGCGCTTTTTCCCAGGTTTTTTGCTTTTTTGGGGGGGGGAATGATTTTTATGTAGTTGAGATTGGGAAGGGTCAAGGACTAGAGGAAAATGGGTAAGAACATTGTTTCCATGTTCTCTTTTTTTGGGTCCTGTATCTGGGGAGAGTGGGGAGATGCGGGGAGAAGCCACCCAGCCTCCCAACCATCCCAGGGTCCCGGAAATGGGGCGTGCTCTGAGGGTCCTGCTCAAATTATTTTGATAGTTCAGCTGTTCTAAATTGCTGTCAGTCTCGCCACTCCTATCATGATGAAATTTCTCCAGAATCCACTGGCTGACATAGTCCACCTTAGAGTCTGTGTTTGCCCAGCTATTCACTGCCAACGCTTAGCTGGGGTAATTGATCAGTTTGTTCTGTCCTCCATTCTCTATTGTGGAATCAAGTGTTTTCTGCAGGTTCCAGTGTACTGCCATATCCTCCTTGTGCACCTGGATATGCTGTCCACTGCTCCGTCTGAGCCACTGAGGAGGCCCAGCTATGACACACGTATTCCATGCCAGCATCTGCTGTGGCAAAGCCCAACCAACCCATACCACTCTGACTTATGCATGCACTATTAGGAACAGTCAACCGAGGGTAGTTTTCCCTGACCCTGTTCATGTGAGGCCAACAGGTATTGTAGCCCCTCCCTGCCGGGTCTGCCCCCTATTCCAGCTCTCAGCTCACCAGTGAGTAGTGGCCCAGCAGGGAGGCCCCTATAGAGTCCCCATTCTGTGTTTGCTACGTACCCCCTTGGGTCTTACATGTGCAGATTGGGCTTTGCGGCCCAGTCTATCATGGCTCGCCTCACCTCAGCATTTGCCAATGGGTGCTATAGCCTAGCTCAGCCCAGCCTACCCCCTATTCCAGCTCATGCTGGTGGGGGCTACAGCCTAGCCTAGCCTAGCCTAGACAGCCAACCCCCAAGCCCAGCCCTCATGTGAACTGGAATGTGTTGTGACCGAACCTGGCCTGACCCACACTCTGTTCTGTGTCGCAGCAGATTTTCCCATGCTCCTCCATCAGAACCTCTCCCAGTGCCAGATCTTGCGCCCATCAGTGGTGGGTCCATGGACCAGCCCTACTTAGTCCACCTTATGTCCTAGCAGGAACAGTGGCCTTTCCTGACTGGCTCTCACCTATTCTAATTCTTGTTGTTGGATGTTACAGCCTAGCCACGCCTGGTCCACACTCAGACTCAGCTCACACATGGCTCAGCAGGGGCAGAGACCTAGCCCAGCCCATCCTCCAGTTACCCTGGTTCTCACGAGCCCCAATGGGTGCTGGAGTCTAGCTCAGTCTTGCACACTTCAGACCCAGTCCACAGTTGTGCTGAGGGGACACTGCAGCCGTATCCAGACCCAGATCTCACACATGCCAGTGAGTGCTATGCCCTTACCTGGCATAGCCTGCCTCCTCCATCCTGGCCTTTGTATGAGTTGGTGGATGTTGCTGCCTGGCCTGCCCCACATCCTGTTTTAGAGTGTGTGTGCGGGTGCTGCAGGTTGGGCCTACCCAGCCTGTTTTCAGTCCCAGTACCCATGAGTGTCGGAGGGTTCTTTGGTCATGCCTAGCTCAGCCTATCACCACCCCAACTTTTTTTTTTTTTTTTAAGATTTATTTATTTATTTATAAGTCAGATGTACAGAGTGGAGGAGAGACAGGAGGATCTTCTGTCTGCTAATTCACTCCCCAAATGACTAGAAAATGAGCCGATCTGAAGGCATGAGCCAGGAGCTTCTTCAGGATCTCCCACGTGGTTGCAGGATCCCAAGGCTCAATTGCTTCTCCAGGCCACAGGCGGGGAGCTGAATGGGAAGTGGGGCTGCCAGGATTAGAACCAATGTCCATTTGGGATCCGGTGTATTGAAGGTGAGGACTTTAGCCGCTAGACTATCACGCTGGGCTCAACCACTCCAGCTCTTAAGCTGGCCAGTGGGACTTGTTTTTTTTTTTTTTTTTTTTAATTTTTAAAGATTTATTTTATTTTTATTGGAAAGGCGGATATACAGAGAGGAGAGACAGAGAGGAAGATTTTCCGTCCGATGATCCACTCCCCAAGTGAGCGCAACGGCCAATGCTATGCCAATCCGAAGCCAGGATCCAGGAGCCTCTTCTGGGTCTCCCACATGGGTGCAGGGTCCCAAAGCTTTGGGCTGTCCTTGGCTGCTTTCCCAGGCCACAAGCAGGTTGCTGGATGGGAAGCGGGGCCACCAGGTATAAGAACCGGCGCCCATATGGGATCCTGGGTGTGCAAGGTGAGGATCTTAACCACTGCACCATCGCGCCGGGCCCCAGTGGGACTTGTAATTGCACAGGGTTAGGCCTGCATATCCTGCAAAGAATCTGTCCCCAGATCTGCTTCTCTTGGAGTGCTGATTTCTATCATGGCCCAGCCTAATGTGTCCCATCCTCGGTTCTGACACTCACTGTCATGTACTGGGAACTAGCCCTGCCAGACATGCCCCCAGCCCTAGCTTTCATGTGTGCTGTGTGTGGTGGTCAGCAATAATCAGTACTAACAAGCCCAGCTCAAGTCTCCCATGTGGCCTGGTGCATTTTGTTTGACCCAGAAGGGTCTTCCTGTCTCTTCCCTGTAAAACTCCGGGTCTCATTCCCCTCACTTGCCTGCAAGTACAGTGGCCTTGTCGTTGGGAGTCCCTCAGGAGTCATTCCTCACCTGCAAGATAACTCCCATGGTAGTCCTCTCCACCCTCTGCACCTCATATTCTCTCGCTCTTTTCCCTATTCAGTCCCCAATCCTTGTGCCTACAAGCGCATGGGTTCTCCAGCCCAGCCTTCAGAAACCCAGCAGGTGGTGTGCTGCTCTGAAGTTGTCCCCACCCACCAGAGTCCCAAGCTCCTGGTACATGTGCTGGTCTGGTATCTTACACACACCCAAGATCCCGGCCCGTTGAGGTTTTCAGGCCTGGTCCACCAGCACACCAGGGCAGCGTGCTGACCTGGCACTCTCTCCTCCCCTCCCCCCCCACGAGCCAGCACATGGGGAAATCCCCAGCTTTGCTCCACCAGCCTAGAGGTAAACTCCCAGGTCCCCACCTGCCCTCCCCTACTATACCCTACACCCTTCCCTGTCCCAAGCCCACACCCTTCAGCCCACACAGGCTCCCCACTGCCTCCAGCTGGCGGTTTGTTGGTACAACAATCTGAAAAAGTTTTTGATTTGGATAGCACCAGTGCCATGCGTGATAGGCTAAAATGAACTTGCACTTCTAATCCTGTTTTTCTGTGTTGGGGGAGAAATACTGGGTGGAACATTATTTTGTTGTGATTATCATTCCCTACTCTCTTCAATCTGGCATTTTTCAGATAATAATTATTTTATAAAGCAATTTTTGTGCATAAATTGATGCCATTTTATTAGTAACCCTAAAAACTTGCATGCTTTTATTTTTAACCCAACAGTAGCAGCCGTTCTTCTAAAACATTCAAACCAAAGAAGAATATCCCAGAAGGGTCCCATCAGTATGAGCTCCTGAAGCATGCGGAAGCGACTCTAGGAAGTGGGAATCTGAGACAAGCCGTTATGTTGCCAGAGGGAGAGGACCTCAACGAGTGGATTGCTGTTAACAGTAAGTATTTTGGTGGAAAATTGTAAACATAGAAGTAGACAAAACTAACACAGTGAATTTTCAAGGCTATATCTTCTCATTTCAACAGATACCAATCTAACCAGTTGAATTTCTTCTGTACCCCCACCCCTGATTATTTTGAAGCCAACCACAGGCTTATTGTCTAATTCATAAATAATTCAATAAGTAAAGAAGACTGCAGTACTGTGGTCTTCTGTTTTCAAGTACTTAGAGATAGATCCCCCACTGCAGTGAGACTGGGCCAGGTTGGCACAAGAAGCTAGGAGCTCTAGCTGGGTTTCCCACACAGGTGGCAGGAACTCAAGGACTTGAGTCATCATTTCCTGGCTTCCTAGGCACCTCAGCTGGGAGCTGGGTCAGAGACCTAGTGGCCAGGACTCCAGCCAGCACTCCAGTGGGGAAGGTGGGGTGCAAGGACAGCTTCATCCACCACAGCACAGAGCCTGCCCCTGCTGTTATCTGTCAGTGAAGTCAGCTACCCATTCAGTCTGCACAGTGCTTTTTGGCTTGGTGTGTCCCCAAGGCATCATTGCCATAGTCTGTTCCTTCATTTCTTTCCTGTACATCTTACATTACGACTTCATACTGTGACAAAAATGCTTTTTAACATCACTGTAGCCATTTAATACATGAAAAAGTAGCTCATGTGTCTGAGGAACTAAATTTTTAATTAAAGGTAAGTTTATTGTAAGATGTAGCTGCGACCCGGGACCTGGGGAGGGTGGGAAATTGGGTGGGTCTTCTCCCTTAATACCCCCCTTTAAACATGAAGGAAACAATATGGAAAAAATAATAGTCTTACCCACTTTCCTATAGCCCTTGAACCTTTTTACCCTAATTAACTTTGTAAAGATTGTCAAAATATAATAAAAAAAAATATGGAAAAAAAAATGTAGCTGCGGTACCATGTTTGTGAAAGCTGAGTCCTAGATCAAATTCAGGTTTGATTTTGTTGGTCGGTGAGACCGCTTCATAAACGGTGCTATGTATTTCCATAGTAACCTTGTCTTTTTTTTTTTTTTTTCTTAAAAATCTGGCTTACTCTAGGGAATGCTGTTGGCATTCTGACAGGTTTATAACAACACATTTCCTTGTTGTAGGTTCCTGGTAGAGCAGTTTCACTGCCTGAGGACTTTCATGTGCTCTGCCTGTGAATCCTTCCCTCTCTGCTCTCTCCAGCCACTGCTGCTGTCTGCATAGTTTTGCCTTTTCCGGAAGATTACGTATTTGGATTCTTACAGTGTGAATCCTTTTCATATGGCCTCTTTTAGTTAGTAGTATATATCTAAGTGTCTAATGTCTTTTCATGGTTTGAAAGTGTATTTCTAGACCTGACTGTTCTGTTTTCTGGATGTTTCACATATTTTTATCTGTTCACCTACTAAAGAACATCTTGGTTTTGTCAGGTTTTAACATTATGAGTAAGGCTTCTGTAGATATCATGTATAGGTTTTTGTGTGAACGTAAGTTCTTTTTATTTTTTTTAAGGATTTATTTATTTATTTATTGGAAAGTCAGATATACAGAGAGGAGGGGAGACAGAGAGGAAGATCTTCCATTTGATGATTCACTCCCCAAGTGGCTACAACAGCTGGAGCTGAGCTGATCCAAAGTCAGGAGCCTCTTCCAGTTCTTTCATGTGGGTGCAGGGTTCCAAGGCTTTGGGTTGTCCTTGACTGCTTTCCCAGGCCACAAGCAGGGAGCTGGATGGGAAGCGGGGCCACCAGGATTAGAACCGGCACCCATATGGCACATTCAAGGCGAGGACTTTAGCTGCTACGCTATTGCGCTGGTCCCAAGTTCTTTATTTGGGTAAATGCCAAAAAGCGTAATTGCCTGATCATATGCTAAGTAGGTTGTTCTGTAAGAAACTACTGAACGTGTACAGTGCCTTCACCACGTTAATGTGTTCCCATCAGCTGTGCATGAGAGTTGTTGCTCTACATGCTTACCACTTTTGTTCTTGTCATTGTTTTGGATTTTGGTCATTCTAATAGATGTGTTTCAGGTTTTTATTTTATTCACCTAAACTGTTGACATATGTCTTGTTAGAGTTATAGAGTTAGACTACCTGAAAAACAGCCAGGTTCTGCAAAATCATGCTTCAATGCTATAAACTGCTAAATACTAAAATTAAAATAGACATGAGACAGCTGACTAGTAATCTATAGCCATTTTAAGGTGTATAGAAGCCAGTTGTTGAAATGTCAATGTAGAAGTCATAGGATGTGGTTCAGAACTTGCATTCTTTTTTTTTTTTTTTAAGATTTTATTTTTATTATTTTTTTATTCATTCTTTTTTTTTTTTTTAACATGTTGGTTACTCAGTATCATGTCGACTAATTCCATTATGTTATGAATTGTTACTGATGTAATGTCGGGGCTTTTAATTGATTGGGATGATAGTCTGTTGGCTCTACCTTCAGACCAGAGATGGTCTCCCCAAGAAACTGCTGAACTTATCTGGAGAATAAGATGCTGGACTTTGTGTTTGGTTGATGCTTGCAATGAAAGAATCTCAACTGAATTTGAACTATGGTAATGCAACAAGGTGGAGGAATCCACCATGGGGAGGCAGGGTTTGGGGAGGTGTGGGGGGAATCCCAGTGCCTATAAAACTGTGTCACATAATGCAATGTAATCAGTAAAAAAAAAAAGAAAGAAAGAAAGAAAACATGAAGCCCAACAGCCTAGACCTTAACCACTTCCCTCCTTTCAATCAGCACCTGCTTCTTTTCACCTAGCCTTTCCGCCTGAAGAATTTATCTAGCCTCACCCAGCATGATGACTGTCTAGGGGCAGGTGCTCAAATAGAAGCGTAGAATGATTAAACAGATAAATAGAGGAACGGGATGCAACCACAATAAATCATTGTACAAACATCAAAAAAAAAAAAGGCAGATATACAGAGAGGAGGAGAGACAGAGAGGAAGATCTTTCATCTGATGATTCACTCCCCAAGTGAGCCGCAATGGCCAGTGCTACGCCGATCCGAAGCCAGGAACCAGGAACCTCTTCAGGTCTCCCACACGGGTGCAGGGTCCCAAGGCTTTGGGCTGTCCTCGACTGTTTTCCCAGGCCACAAGCAGGGAGCTGGATGGGAAGCGGGGCCGAACCAGCGCCCATATGGGATCCTGGCCCATTCAAGGCGAGGACTTTCGCTGCTAGGCCACAGCACCGGGCCTAAGTTTTGATGCTGATTGTGTCCCGCCAGTTCCACTTCCCATCCAGCTCCCTGCCTGTGGCCTGGGAAAGCAGTCAAGGATGACCCAAAGCCTTGGGACCCTGCACCTGCATGGGAGACCCGGAAGAAGAAGCTCCTAGCTCCTGGCTTCAGATGGGTCAACTCTGATTGTTACAGCCATTTGGGGAGTGAATTAGCAGAGGGAGGATCTTTCTGTCTCTACTCTTTGTAAATCTGATCTGCCTTTCCAATTAAAAAGAATTTAATTATTTTTTAAAAAAAGAATTTATTTCTTTTTAATTGGAAAGGCACATCAACCTACAGAGAGAGGAGAGACAGAAAGATCTTCCATCAGCTGGTTCACTCCTCAGGTGGCCAGGAGCTTCCTCTGTGTCTGTCACATGGGTGCAGGGTCCCAACATATTGGTCCATCCTCTACTTCCTAGGCCATAAGCAGGGAGCTGGATGGGAGTGGAGCAGCCAGGAGCAGCCAGGATCCCTAATGGAGCAGCGTCCATTAGGGATCCTGGTGCTTGAAGGCGGGGATTAGCCAATTGTGCCATTCACCAAGCCTGTTTTATTGTTTTAATTAGCATTGTTCTGATGGACATATCATGATCATGTCAAGTACTGTTTTATGTGCTCCACATTATTTTGATGGTATATCTGTTAAGGTCTTTATCAGAAATGCTGTTTACAAATATTTTCTTCCAATCTATAGTGCTTTTTTTACTTCAAAAAGAAGTTTTAATTTTTATTTTCATGGAAAGGCAAATTTACAGAGAAAGAGAGAACCTGATCTTTCATCTCACCCACTGGTTCACTCCCTTAATGGCCATAACAGCTTGAATTCAGACTGAAGTCAGGAGCCAGGAGCTTCTTCCAGGTTCTGCACATGGATGCAGGGTCCCAAGGCTTTGGGTCATCTTCTATATCTTTCCCAGGTACAAGCAGAGAGCTGAATGGGAAGTGAAGTGAACTGGCATCCATGTGGGATTTTGATGCTTGCAAGATAATGATTTAGCCATTGAGCCATTTCACCTGGTTCAAAAATAACTAAAAACAAGGGTGGGGGAAAAGCTGAATCAGAGGCAGAGCTAGGGCTGCAACCCCAATCCCCAACGCTCTGATACGGAATGCAGGCGTCTTTTTTTTTTTTTTTTTAAAGATTTATTTATTTTTATTGCAAAGTCAGATATATAGAAAGGAAGATCTTCTGTCTGATGGTTCACTCCTCAAGTGACTGCAATGGCTGGAGCTGAGCCAATCCCAAGCCAGGAGCTCTTCCGCGTCTCCCACGCAGGTGCAGGGTCCCAAGGCTTTGGGCCGTCCTCAACTGCCTTCCCAGGCCACAAGCAGGGAGCTGGATGGGAAGCAGGGCCGCCAGGATTAGAACCGGTGACCCTATGGGATCCTGGTGTGTGCAAGGCGAGGACCTTAACCACTAAGCTATTGTGCCAGGCCCAGTGTGCAGGCATCTTAACTGCTGCCCTCCATCTGACTATTTATCTTTTTTGTATGCCATTTGATAGAAACTGAATGTGAACTATGTATGTAATTTTGAGTTTTCTAGTATATACTATTTTTTTTTTAGGTTTTATTCTCTTTGAAAGAGGAAAGACTAAGAGGAAAAGCAAGAGGAAAGACATGCTTTTCATCTGTTGATTGACTCCCCAAAATGGCCCAGCTAGGCCAGTCCAAACCCAGAAACCTTGAGCTAATTCTGTCTAATTCTGTCTCCCTTCCCTTGGTCAGGGGCCCAAAACTTGGCCCATCCTCTGCTGCTTTCCCACCCCATTAACAGAGAGCTAAATTGGAAAGGAAGCAACCAACTCTCAAACAGATGCCTATATGGGATGCTAGCACCTGCAAACACAGACTTAATGTTCTGTGCCAGGGCACTGGCCTCTAATATTCATAATTTAAATTTAAAAAGTTTTTCTTGGGGCCTGGCGTGGTGGCCTAGTGGCTAAAGTCCTTGCCTTGAATGCGCCAGGATCCCATATGGGCATTGGTTCTAATCCTGGCAGCCCCGCTTCTCATCAAACTCCCTGCTTGTGGCCTGGAAAAGCAGTTGAGGACGACCCAAAGCCTTGGGACCCTGCACCTGTGTGGGAGACCCGGAAGAGTTCCTGGCTCCTGGCTTCGGATTAGCTCAGCTCCAGCCATGTGGTCACTTGGGGAGTGAACCATTGGACAGAAGATCTTCCTCCTTGTCTCTCCTCCTTTCTGTATGTCTGCCTTTGCAATTAAAACAAATAAATCTTTTTTAAAAAATTCATTTAAAAATGGCAATAAGAAGCATGTTGCATGTTTATAACAAATGACGTATTTTCCAAAATTTTAGTGAAATATGTAGCCTTTTTTATATTTTTGCAAATCTTTAATGCCTAGTTCAATAGGTGTTTGGTTTTGTTTGTTATCTGTTGTGATGTGACACATCGTAGAGGCTCTGGAAAACCCATTGTGCCCTTTTCAGAGGAAGGAGAAGGGAGCAATTGAAGTAGTTTAGACCTCACAGGTCTTGAAGGCAGGGGTATTCCTGCACCCCATTCTGCCACACCAGTGACAGTCTAAGCACGTTGTTACATTTTGAGTAAGTATTGGTCTTAATCATTGTTTCCATAGAAACACGATTAATTAAGGGAAAGATTTATAACAGACCTTTGACAAGATGTAATTTTAAAAATCTTGTTTTTTAAGAACTTGGAAAAGCCATTGTTGATACTTTTAAGGTACTCCTTTATAGAGAAACTAAACCATTTTACAACTTTCCAAGGCTTCTGTGGCTTTCTTTGCACATAGTTGTGTTTCAGTCAGTTGTGGCTCAGTGTGGCCTCTTTCACTTCTCCAAGCCTAGTGAAGCTCACGTAGGGAGAAGGCCCTCTACCCCAGCTTTTCTCATAACTTTCTTGTGCTATTGTTGCCCTTTGAATCCTATCTTCTTATGTCCTGTATTGTTTGTTTCTGTTTAAGTTTTTTCCTTTTATTAGGTAGCGAATCCAGGGAAAGAGACTTTATCCAAAGATTTTTTTTATGCCCTCACTGTTCTGTAGACCTCAAATGTTTATTCTAAATTAGATTGTTTTCAGTGTACCTGCCTGCCTCCTTCACATTTTTGTCTCTTTCCTAATATGGGTGCTATTGTCTGGTCTACATTGATAAGGAGCTATGGATTTTTATAATTTCCATGTTTATTATGAAATTGTATGTTCTGATGTATAATAGGCACTATTGAGTTAGAATTTTCCTTGTATTAGATGTTTGTTAAAAACTTAGTGTATTAAAAGTTGACCTTAATTTTAGGTTGATCAGATCATTTGATTTTCCAAGGATTCAGCCAAGAGCTTAAATTTGTTTTTTGTTTTTGTTTTTTCACCTGAGACGTCTGCTAGTTTTGTATTACACAGATGTTCTAACACAATTCCGCTATTCACTCTGCAGCTGTGGACTTCTTCAACCAGATCAACATGTTATATGGAACTATTACAGAATTCTGCACTGAAGCAAGCTGTCCAGTCATGTCTGCTGGGCCAAGGTATAAATATTGCCTGCTATATGGGTGTTTACATGACTATTGTTGTATCAGTAATTCATATAAATTTAAGAATGTCTTAAATGCTTTGTAAGCCAAATCTCAGTGTCTTAAAGCTTACTGCATGATGTAAGCATACTGCTACAGGAGTATAAGAGCGGAAATTGGAGAGTTTTATTTGTATTGCATTACAAAAATTTATTTTCTCAATTTTATTAACATTTATGCTTCCTATTTATAGTTTTTAACTGAATTTCTTTGAAGAGTTTGACCATTTAACATTTGATTTTACTCTGTGCCTTATTTAGTGTTGTTGGAACACAGCTTTAGTTACCTGACTAAAAAGATGCTGAGTTAAAGAATGTTTTGATTAACACATTTCAAGAAATACTGCAAAAAGAAACAGGTGAAAAAAACCTGTGGTGACCAGTCAGTGTGTGTTGTGATGGAGTTTCTGTTGGATGGCTTCCCTTTTTTCCCTGCAGTGATGAATGAGTTTATGTGCTAATAGCTTGATTCCCAGAAAGTTTGTCTGCTAGAAAAGACTGTGCTCTCTGGTATTACTACCATGTATAAAGAAGCCCCAATGTTTGTAGTCCTGTTTTGTCGCAGTATTTCAGGAAGAATGTTTTGATTTTGTGTTCAACGTTATTCTTAAAGTTTTAAACAAAGAAAATCAATTGGAAAATTAAATTCATCTGTGGCTTAAATGCTTTATACATGTTAATTGTGTCAGCTAAGGTAATGGTAGGGGGAGAAAGCATGCATGCCTCAGAATATTTCTCCAATAGCCTCTTTGAAAACAGTCCATCAGGGTGTAGTGGATATCTTACCACCTTACCATTCTTGAGCAACTTTTGGCTTTAGACAGGAATGCATTTCTCCTAACTTTCCCAGGCTGAGTTATAAAACATGCACTCTGGCACTGCTAGCTGTCACATAATTCCTGTTTCCTTTGCTAATTACAGAAATATTCCATAGGGAACTTTTAGTAATCTTCAGTTGACCTTTAGATAATTTACCAAAGAGGCAGGTGAGTTTTGAGTGACAGAACATGAACCTATGCTGATTACAAGTTGTACATTTCTTAGTGCTATTGAAAGCCCTCAGTAAACTATTTTTCTTTCCAGATATGAATATCACTGGGCAGATGGTACTAATATTAAAAAGCCAATCAAATGTTCTGCACCAAAGTACATTGACTATTTGATGACTTGGGTTCAGGATCAGCTTGATGATGAAACTCTTTTTCCTTCTAAGATTGGTGAGTTAATGTAGAACTTTTTTTTTGAATGATGATACTTTCTTTTTAACATTCACTTACTTTTTAAAAAAAAAAATCTAAGGGTCCTGGTGCAATGGCTTAGTGTTATATCCTCACGTTGTGTGTGCCAGGATCCTTCCTAGATGCTGGTTTGTGTCCTGGTTGCTCCACTTCCCAGATAGCTCCCTGCTTGTGGCCTGGGGAAGAAGTAGAGGATGGGCCAAAGCCTTGGGACTCTGTATCCAGGTAAGAGACCTGGAAGAAGCTCCTGAGTCCTGGCTTGGGATCGGCTCAGCTCTGGCCGTTGGGCTATTTAGGAAGTGAACCAGCAGATGGAAGATATTTCTGTCTCTCCTCTCTGTATATCTGCCTTTCCAATAAAAAGTAATTTTCAAACAAGTATACTATCCTAATGTATGTAACTGTTTTAATGTATTTTAAATTAATGAAATTAAACATTGCTTCTTGACCTTTTGGCTAAGATCAAGTATAGTAAACTATCTTTCCACAATATTTCAGGAATTTAAAAATTTCCTGTGTTGATAGGTTGCAGTGCCTGAGCATGCAGGCTTTTTCTTTTGCTTAGGAAAGTTTGTATTCCTTATTAAATGTATAAGTGTTATTTCTTTTAAGTTAAAATGACCAACAGTAAAAAATTTGTATTTACAATTAGAATACTCATTCTTGTTGCATTTTTTTAAAAAAGATTTACTTTATTTTTATTTGAAAGGGTGGAGTTAGAGAAGGAGATACAGAAACAGCGTGATATTTTTATCCCCTGGTTTACTCCCAAATGGCTGTAGTGGTCCACACTGGACAGATCTGAAGCCAGTAGCCAGAATCTTCTGTGTCTTCTGTGTGGGTATGGTGGCCTAAGAAACTGAAATATTCTCTGCAGCTTCCCCAGGGTGTACATGGGGAGCTGGATTGGAGGTAGAACAGCTGGAGCTTAAACCAGCGTCCATATGGGATGCCAGCATCATTCTTGTTGATTTCATTTTTTTTTTTTAAGTTGGAAAGTCAGATTTACAAAGATAAGGAGAGACAGAAAGATCCTCCATCTACTGCTTCACTCCCGAAGTGGTTGCAATGGCTAGAGCTGATCTGAAGCCTGGAGCTTTTTCTGGGTCTCCCACGCGGGTGCAGGGTCCCAAGGCTTTGGGCCGTCCTTGACTGCTTTCCCAGGCCACCAGCAGGGAGTTGGATGGGAATTAGAGTAGCTGGGACATGAACCCATGTGCATATCAGATATCAGCAGTTGCAAGGCAAGGCTTTAGCTGCTAGACTATTGCACCAGGCCCATCTTGTTCATTTATTTTTATTTTTTTTAAGACTTACATATTTTTTATTGCAAAGTCAGATATATATAGAAAGAGGAGGAGAGATGGGAATATCTTCCATCCAATGATTCACTCTCCAAGTGACCGGAGCTGAGCCAATCCAAAGCCAGGAGCCAGGAACTCTTCCGGGTCTCCCACATGGGTGCAGGGTCCCAAGGCTTTGGGTCATCGTTGACTGCTTTCCCAGGCCACAGGCAGGGAGCTGGATGGGAAGTGGGACTGCCGGGATTAGAACTGGCACCCATATGGGATCCTGGTGCGTTCAAGGCGAGGACTTTAGCTGCTAGGCCACGTCGTTGGGCCCTTGTTCATTTTTTAAGGAAGACACTATGATAACTAAAAAAATGTTTATTGAATTTTGGCTGGGCAGTGTCATGTATAATTTTTTTTTTTTTTAAAGATTTATTTTTATTATTTTTTATTGGAAAGGCGGATATACAGAGAGGAGAGACAGAGAGGAAGATCTTCGGTCCGATGATTCACTCCCCAAGTGAGCCGCAACGGGCCGATACTATGCCGATCCGAAGCCAGGAGCCTCTTCCGGGTCTCCCACGCGGGTGCAGGGTCCCAAAGCTTTGGGCCGTCCTCAACTGCTTTCCCAGGCCACAGGCAGGGAGCTGGAAGGGAAGCGGGGCTGCCGGGATTAGAACCGGCGCCCATATGGGATCCCGGGCGTGCAAGGCGAGGACTTAACCACTTGCGCCACCGCGCCGGGCCCTGTCATGTATAATTTTAATGCCTGTGCCTGTTCTAAGGCAACCAGAGCGAAGTAGTAACGATATACTTAGGTGTGAATATTTTTCTCTGTGTTTAAAAAAACAAAACAGAACATACAGAAGTAGGCTTGTGTATTTGTATAAGTGTGTATTTTGTGTGTTATAGTTGCTTATGGCAGTATCTAAATATCCTGCTGTTCATTTAGACAGAAGGTTGAGAAATATATACATATATTTGATTATAGGTGTCCCGTTTCCCAAAAATTTTATGTCCGTGGCAAAGACCATCCTGAAGCGCCTGTTCAGGGTGTACGCCCATATTTATCACCAGCACTTTGATTCCGTGATGCAGCTCCAAGAGGAGGCCCATCTCAACACCTCCTTCAAGCACTTTATTTTCTTTGTTCAGGTGAGTTGGATCAGATTGATCTCTGTGTTCTTGGACTTGAGACTAAGTAGATTTGGTACCTTGTCTTACTTAGATGTGCAGCTGAGTTCAGCCAAAATTATTTTCCCATCCACATCGTTTCACTCTTGTGTTGACAACACAGAAAGTTTTCACTCTCGTTTAGGCCCTACCTTGTGCCTCTGGCTTTCACAGTTCTGTGGTTAGAATATGTCATTTAGGGACATTACCTGTTGCATTATAGGCCCTTAGAACAGAAACTTTTAAAAAAATGTAATTCATGTTGTTTGAAAGGGGTGTCAAAGAATCAGGGCTACTGTAGCATAACTGTAAAGATAGCATAGGGTTTTATGTAAACTGTAACAGTGTGTGTACATATCATTGTATTTGGTTAGTTATATAGAGTGGCTCATGGAGGTCAGGAGCACTCAGCGTTTGCTGGTTTATTATAAAGGGCATCATGTAGGATGCAGGTCAACAGCTGGATAAGATATGCTTAGGGCCAAGTATGGGAGAGGGAGAAGGAGCCTCCGTCACCAGGTGGGGCATTGTGCAGGAACCTGCACGTGTTCAGCTGTCCAGAAATTCTCTGAACCATTTCCTTTGGATTTTTAGGGGAGTTTTGTTACTTGTCCAGTGTAGATTGCATTATTGGCCATTGGTAATCAGATCAGCTTTCCCTTACTTTCCCTTCTTTGGAGACTGGGGGTGGCCCTGGAAGTTGCAACCTTGTAATGCATGGCTTGGTCTTTTCAGTGACTGTCTCATGTGCTGTTGATCTTCAGGGACCCCAGAAACAGAACTGAAGACCAATATGTCACTCAGTGTTATACCTGTATTTTTTAATAAGGACAGTCCTATTGTAAAATGTTCACAGAGGTTATCTGATCATTCCAGAAGGCTGTAGCTGGGAGTATATAAAATACATTTAAGGAGTTTAATTTAGAAATTTATTTAAATTTTTATTTTTCTTCTCTTTTTAGGAGTTTAACTTGATTGATAGGCGTGAGTTGGCACCTCTTCAGGAATTAATTGAGAAGCTTGGATCAAAAGACAGATAAACGGTTCTTACAAACCACAACTACCTTCTTGCTTCATCTACTGCTAGAGCTGTCTCCGTGCTATCTGTTATAGACTAGTGATACAAACTTTGAGAGAACAGGATAAGAAGTTTCTTGTTATCTGTATCTCTACAGATAAAATTGTCCCAAAGGCAGGTTTGCCTTCTAGCTTCAGAGTGCTACCCTAAGGACACAGCGAAATCTGAGGTACCATTTGATGACCTTTATGTTCCTGTCACAGAGTCATATTTGATTGTAATTTGTGGTGACTGACCTGTAGTTTATTGGTTTACTTACTACGTCATTCAGGAAAATGATTGAGTCTTATTTCAGGTGATAGCATAGTAGATATCAGTAATTTATTAGTAAACTTCCAAAACAAATTTCTGATAGCTCAATCAGATTGATTTTAACATGCTTTTAGTTTTTTTAATAGATATTTTTTAAGTTTTTTTTTTTTAATCTAGAACATTTGCATCACTTTCAATAATCCTTTAGTTTCAAGTGTACTAGTATTTTTGTAGATAAGGCTATATATGTGTATTTCAAAATCCATGATTGCGGTTTAAATCATCATGGCAAATATGAAATGAGAGTAATCAGAATTATTTTAAAGTGACTTTATTTTTAAATTTTTATTTGGGATTTTATTCATATCTCTGTAAATTATTACTAGTGTGTTTCAGTTTTTTTACTGCTTCTAATGGTAGCCCTGGAGGTTTTATTTTGAAATGCTTCACTCAGATTAATGTGTAGCTTTTGTCTGAGAAAAAGAACTTCCAGAAAATTATGGCAAGCTTAGATGTCTCAAAGCTATGATTTTCATTCACAGTTTTTAGAAACCTTGTAATTCTAGGTAAGAGAATAGACATACTCAGTGCTTGATGGCCTTGTTTCCTTTTTTTTTTCTTTATTTTTTGTTTTTATTGTGACAGCTAAGAATGGTGCAGAAATGCACGAACTTTATCCCGATAAGATTTAAGGAAAGCCACAATCAAAAACTTTGAAAATGTGCACATTTTATAAGAGCTAGTGTGCAACTTTGTGTGTGGTGTGTGTGTGTGTGTGTGAGAGAGCTCTGAAGGAAACAAGATGGGAGGAATAGCTAAAAGAAAAATCACATTGAGTCTTGTTAGTATTCACAGGTGGATTGAGCCTCCATAGGGGGTTTATTTAATTTCAATGGCTTTTGAACTCAAAATTCTTAGTTTTTATTGGATAAAGGGATCTTCCCTTTTAGTGAAGAAAACCTTTCTTTCCCGTTGGTTCCCAAGATTCAGTCATCTGTAGCTGACCACTTAACATACAATAGGGAGTAGGGAGACTACTAGAAGGCCGCCCGGCCCACAGAACTTCCCAGACACACGCTGTGTGTCCAAGTTGTGTTTCTTCCCTTGTGTGTTTGATAAGGGGTGGATTTAAGTGTTTATTATTTACAAGAATATAAAGGATTGCTTAGAAATATCCCTTCTTATAATTGGGTTTTAATGAATTCTGAAATACATATTTTTTCATTCTTCTGATTAAGCTGGAGCGATACAGTGTTTGAGAAGTTAAATAGTAGGGTAGTCACTTAAGGATAAAAAGAGCAAAATCCCCGTGAAGCATTGAGGCTTACTGGCAGCCCAAGAGCTCGGCCAGTCAGCTGGTGCTCACCACTGGCAGGCATGGAAGCCGGTGTCTAGGATGCAACTGCTAGCAATTGTAAACTGTGGCTTGTGTTTGCTTATGTCTGCAAGGAATGTGTGACGGTGTTTCCTACCTGGAGTTGTGCTTTCATTTCTGTATCTGCAAACGAAAGTGTTCTCACTTCTCTGCATTTGACTTTCAGTGATAACTGTCCTCCCACTGGTCTTGACTAACCCCAAAGAGCCCAAGTTGGTCCTCCTCGTTCTGGGAGAGCAACAAAGATGACTTATTAATGAGACAGAAGTCAAAACTTCGTGGTAATTGGAGATTCAGAATATGCTTTTTTCCCCTAGTAGAAGCATTTCAGATTCCTAAAGCCAGTGTGGCCTAACCAGCAGTGCAACTGTTACTGTTTACATTATTTGTTTACTTCCAAGGCCAGGGAGTGTGGAGCAGGAGGAGGACTGGAAGAACAGGAGTGGGTGGGACCGTCCTAACTTGGCGAGAGGACTAACCTTTGGTAAGAGGCTGAAGAACAGTCTCTGCCTTGTGCTGGGCCTCCCACACCCAGGCTCTGTCTGTTGCACAGCGCACACTGTCCTGCCCCCTCCCCTCCTCAGTCATCTCCTCTGAGTGTCTGATCTCCACTCCTCAGTGTGATTACAATCACGGGGTAGAGAGGACCAGGTAAATGATGCAGCTAATCCTATGGTGCTTTATTCTCCAGGTCTTTTTAAGAAACTTGGCTAGTGATTTTTGTTTGGACATCCAACTTCCCTTCTACTCTGGTGACTGTAGTGATGGCCCTGTGTATCCTTTCTGCGTGAGATTGTGAAAAAGTGACTTACAGGGCTGCCAGCTACCAAGGCATTTTTTTGTAGCTGCTTACTTGAGAAATGCAAATCTGTATTCTGTGTGGCTTGGATAGCAAAGATAGTTTTGCTTCTAGGATAAAAGCCGGAGGAGCGGTTCTGGTGGTGATGGTAACTTTTGCAAGCATTGTTGAGTTTTCTGATTTCACTGCTGACCTTCTCTCTGAACAGTGTGATTCTCCCACGAGGAGAGAAGTGCAGGATCATTGCCTCAGAAACAAAAGCAAGGCAAACCCGCAGAATGTTAGGTCACCCATGCCCTGTCTTGGCAGGGCCCTGCCACCTGTCAGTGAGGCCCCTGGCTTGAGAAACGCTAGTGCCAAAACACCTTCGATGGGCACACGAATCCTCCTGATACCAGTTCAGTAAGTGGATTTATTTTTTGTTGTGTAACTCGGATAAAAGCGGAAAATAATCATTTCATCTTCTTTGCATCTGATTTTGATATTTTAAGCTGCAAAAGACTTTGGGGAGTGATATTACATGTGGTAATGGTGATTTTATTGAACCAACTGCATTGAAGTTTACTTGGACATTTTTTCATTATCAGATTCTATTCCAAACAAGTGTTCGGTAAATCCAAATGGATCACCAGTGTACTCTAGACTCAGTACAAAGCAACACTCTGCATTTAGTGTACATTGGAAATAGTTCACATAATTTAGTCTTGGTTACCATTTAGAATATTTTTAAATGTTCTTACATAAAAATTTATGTTGTATTTTTAAACTGTTAGGGGCTTTATCTATTTTTCTAAGTCAGTTAACTGTACTTTTTGAAAAAGTATTTTGTATCTACTTTTGTAACTGCATCAGAATAAAATATATTGAAGCAAAAAAATGTGTGTGTATGTCTCAAAACATTTGTTTAAGAAGATTCAGGTGTTTCATGGAAAAGCAGACTGACAGAATCTCCCATGCTCTGGGTCATTCCCTAAATGTCAGTATTAGCTCAGACTAGGCGAAGCCAGAGCCTGGGGCCAGGAAGTTAGTTGTGGTCTCCTCCTGAGGGGGGTGTTAGGTGCAGGTGCCTGGGCTGTCCTCTGCCTTCTCAGGCACTATAGCAGGAAGCTAGGTGAGCAGTGGAGTGGCAGAACTAACCATGGCATCCACTGTGGGATTTGGTATCCCTGGCAGCAGCCTGACTTGCTGTACCACAGCATCACCTCTCCACAATCTTGTATTGAAGTTTGGAAATCTGAGATTTTTGAAGATTTATGAATTTTAAGTTCATTTTAAATTTGGAAAAATTTCCTCTGTATCACTTAGTAATTTATATCTTTTCTTAAAGAAAACCCTTGCAAAAAGGGAAGGATCTAAATAAACTAAATATCATAGATCACTTGGACACCATCTCGCATGAATTGTTAAGTCTATCCCAGAGAAAAACTCAGCTTCTCCAGATCTTGATGTTTTTTGAACATTTCTGGTTATAAAATAGAGTAAATGGAAGGCTCATGAACTTGCTTCATCTTGAAACCAATTACTAAAGCATAGCTTTACAACAGGGCCCCTACTGGGGCCAGTGTGGTGGCATAGCAGAATAGTCCTCTGCTTGCAGCACCAGCATCCCATAAGGGCACCAGTTCAGGCCTTGGCTACTCCCAGTCCAGCTCTCTGCTTGTGGCCTGGGAGGGCAACTGAGGATGGCCCAATGCCTTGGAACTCTCCACATGCATAGGAGACCTGAAAGAGGCTCCTTGCTTCCAGCTTCAGATTGGCACAGCCAGGGCTGTTGGCAATCATTTGGGGAGTGAACCAGTGGATGGAAGGTCTCTCTGTGTCTTTCCTTTCTGTAACTTTTGCTTCCTAATACATAAGTCTTAAAAAAGAAAGAAAGAAAAGGACCCCTCCAATAGCTTTTTGTTATAGTAGGAAAAACACTGAGTAGTTTTTATAGAGGCTGAAATTACAGAAGCTTTAGGTCTATTTGATGCTAGAATTGTTTATATGATTGTTCTGAATAGAAATAAAATTAGAAACTTCATGGGCCTGGCACGATAGTGTAGTGGCTAAAGTCCTGGCCTTGAATGTGCCAGGATCCCATATGGGCGCCGGTTGTAATACTGGTAGCCTTGCTTCCCATATCCACTTCCCTGTCTGTGACCTGGGAAAGCAGTCAGGGACAGCCCAAAGCCTTGGGACCCTGCACGCATGTGAGAGACCCGGAAGAAGTTTCTTGCCCTTGGCTTTGGATCAGCTCAGCTCCAACTGTTGTAGCTGAGCGGGAAGTGAACCATCGGACAGAAGATCTTCCTCTCTGTGTATCTGCCTTTCCAATAAGAATAAACAAATCTTTAAAAAGAAAGAAACTTCATGAATGTATCTGAGTAAGTTGGCATTGACACTCATTTTCTGTAAGCTGGTATTTGATTATTTTTGCAGTAGCTAGATGTTAACTCTGAAAGCTATTTTTCAATTAATTTTGTTTTGAAAGAGACACCTTTCATTTTGCTAGATCAATCCTGAAGTGCTCACAGCAGCTAGGCTGAACCCAGAAGCTTAAACTTGAAATCTGGGTCTCTGACACAGGTGCCAGGGACCCAAAGTATTGGAGCCACCATCTACTGCCTCAGGTGGTGAATTAGTGGAAAGCCAGAAGTGCAGGCAGAAGCTAAACCCAAGGCACTCATGGGATGCAGGCGTACTATGTAGTATCCTAACCACGTCACCAAACACCTGCCCCTGAAAGGGAGAACTGCTGGATTATTTTTTTAAGATTTATTTATTTTTGGACCCGGCAGCATGGCCTAGCAGCTAAAGTTCTCACCTTGCATGTGCAGGAATCTCATATGAGTGCTGGTTCTAATCCCAGCACCTCCACTTCCCATCCAGCTCCCTGCTTGTGGCCTGGGAAGGCAGTCGAGGACGGCCCAATGCTTTGGGACCCTGCACCCACGTGGGAGACCAGAGGTTCCTGGCTCCTGGCTCCTGGTTTTGGATTGGCAAGGCACTGGTCGTTTTGCTCACTTGGGGAGTGAATCATCGAACAGAAGTTCTTCCTCTCTGTCTCTCCTCCTTGCTGTATATCTGACTTTGTAATAAAAATAAATCTTTTTTAAAAATTAAAGGTCTATTTTTATTGGAAAGTTATACAGAGAGGAGAGGCAGAGGGGAAGATCTTCTGTCTGATGATTTACTCCCCAAGCGGCTGCAATGGCTGTAGCTGAGCCAATCCGAAGCCAGGAGCTTCCTCCAGGCCTCCCACGCAGGTGCAGGGTCCCAAAGCTTTGGGCCGTCCTCGACTGCTTTCCCAGGGAGCTGGATGGGAAGCGTGGCTGCCAGGATTAGAACCAGCACCCATATGGGATCCCGGCACGTGCAAGGTGAGGTCTTTAGCCTTTAGCTACCATGCCAGGCTGGAACAGACTTCAACCCTTCAGGAGCCAGAGCCTGCATTGTCCACCTCCCTTGTCCGCTAGGTGTCAGTGTCTGCTGATTTGCCTCCCTAGAACTAGAATGAGGCACTGTCCACAGGAAAGGATTTTACACAACACCTTTGGTGTGTCTGGTCAGTTACACACATACCTCTTTATTAGCAGGTGCTAGGTCATACACCTCTGTCCTTGTTGCAAGAATTGAGGGAAGGTCTCTACTTTCCTTGGGGGTATGCAGCAAACTTGTTTGTAAAAGAGCGAGGCCAGAAGCTAGATGGCTGTGTTGTTGGGTGGGCCTTCTGTTCTCCATCAAAGAATATATGTGACAGTGCACTGGTGTAGCCCAGTATGCCCACTCAAGCAGGTAGGTCACTAGCTTAGATTCTGACCAAGCTTCTTACCTTACGGCCAGCTGGCACTTTGAGTATCAATTCCTAAGGGGAACTTAACTTTTTAAAGTGAAATTCTTCAGTAGGTAATCTCATTGTATCTTACAGAAACCTGGTGAAGTGGCCACAGTACAGGAATTTTTTTGGTAGAATTTTAAACCAGGTCACAAAAGCTCAGAAAAAAGCAGGTGGCAAACACAAGGCATGGTCCAGAGTAGTAGAGGATTATGAAATTAAAATAAACTGGGGCTGGATAGGCTGTTTCTCCCCCTCAAGCCAGCATCCTATATGAGAACTGGTTTGTGTCCCAGCTGCTCTGCTTCCCATCCAGCTTCCTGCTTGTGGCCCGGGAAAGCAATCCAGGATGGCCCAAAGCCTTGGAGCACTGCACCCATGGGGAAGACTTGGAAAAAGCTCCTGGCTTTGGGTCATCGCAACTCTAGCTGTTGTGGCCATTTGGGGAGTGAACCAGCAGGTGGAAGATCTTTCCTCCCTATAAATCTGTCTTTCAAATAAAAATAAACATTTTAAAAATGTATGAAAACAGACTACATAATTAAAATTCATCTCAATGAAGTAAAAAGAGAGGTGCATCTAAGAGAAGCTACCTTCAGAGTTTGGCGCCGCGGGGTCAGATGTGTCACGTGAAAACGAGTGGGCATGGGAGTGAAGATAGGAGAATCGAGTTCACGGCGAAATAGTAAAATACAAAATTGACCCATTTCTGAGACTGAAGACTTCACTTTTAGTAGTTGGTTATTTTTTCTAATAATGTGTTTTATTTGCTTCTGTCAAATCACATTTCAGATGTTAACATTGGAACTCATTTGGATCCCAAGACTGGTGAAGTCGTGTTGCAAGTCTTGCAAAAGCTGGGATTCAGACGTGTGAGGCTGGCTTTGTGAACCTCTGTCACGTACTTGGGAATACAGTGTGCACTTCTGTCCATGCTGTGCTGGGCTGTTGGCACTGATGCCTAGAGTTTTGTGTTCATTTGATTGTTCGAAAGGTGATGACAAAGAAAATGATCTTCCATCTGCTAGTTCACTTTCCAAATGGCCAAGACAGCCAGGGCTGGTCAGGTCAAAGCCAGGAACCTAGAATTTTATCCAGATCCCCCACACGGGTGGCAGGGCCAAAGTACTTGGGCCATCTTCTAATGCTTTCTCAGGTGCATTAGCAGGGAGCTGGCTCGAAGTGAAGCATTTGGGACTTGAACTAGGATGCCTGCTTCACAGGTGGTAGCTTCAGCTACTGCAAGTATGGGGCTGCAAGCTCCCTGTGCGGTGGTGGTCGGGTAGCTCTTGTCTGAGAACATGCAAACCCACTGTAGGGACTCTGGATGCTTGGAGGGACACCCACATTTTGTAACGGTACAGTTCCTGGCTAGAGAGAGGAGGAGAGACAGAGAGGAACATTTTCCTTCTGATGATTCACTCCCCAAGTGACCACAACAGCTGCAGCTGTGCTGATCTGAACCAGGAGCCAGGAGCCTCTTCCAGGTCTCCCATGTGCAGGGTCCCAAGGCTTTGGGCCAACCTCGACTGCTTTCCCAGGTCACAAGCAGAGAACTGGAAGGGAAGTGGAGCTGCCGGCATTAGAACTGGCTCCCATATTGGATCCTGGCACGTTCAATGCAAGTACTTTAGCCATTAGGCCGCCACACTGGGCCCCTGGCTTCAGTTCCTGATTCCAGTCTTCCACCAATGGGAGACAGCATTGATGGCCTATGTTTTTGGTTCCTGCCTCCCACGTGAGAAACCTGGATTGCATTGCCAGCTTCCTGCTTGCCCACTGCAACCCCAGCTGCTGGAGGCATTTGAGGAGTGAACTGGCAGGTAGGAGTGTTCTGCTTAGATAAATAAACAGTTTTTTTTTTTTTTAAGGCAGATATACAGAGAGGAGAGACAGAGAGGAAGATCTTCCGTCCGATGATTCACTCCCCAAGTGAGCGCAACGGCCGATACTGTGCCAATCCGAGGCCAGGAGACTCTTCCAGGTCTCCCACGCGGGTGCAGGTTCCCAAAGCTTTGGGCCGTCCTCGACTGCTTTCCCAGGCCACAGGCAGGGAGCTGGAAGGGAAGCGGGGCTGCCGGGATTAGAACCGGCGCCCATATGGGATCCCGGGCATGCAAGGCGAGGACCTTAACCACTGCGCCACCGCGCCGGGCCCAATAAACAGTTTTTTAAAGCATGTGTGATTGTGTCACTTCATAGTTTGTAGAGGTAGGTCAGTATTACTGGCAGGTGGGCATCATTTGGAGAGGTAGTGGTTAGCTTGTACCAAAGAACTTGAGTTTTTGCCTGTAGGTGAGGGGGAATCCAAAGGATTGTAAGTAATAGATGTTTGCAATCCATTCAGCTCTGACAGCTGTGGAAATAGGTAGGGGTGTGTGTGTGTGTGTGTGTGTGTGTGTGTACTGTAATTCAGAGTAACAGTGGATGTGGTAGGTGTTACCCGAGAGGTTGGGGAGGAAGGATGGAGGTCAGCCCAAGTGCCAGCGTGAACCAAGGGAAGAGGGTTCTGCAAGCGCAGATCTGTGAGTTGAGCATGCAGGCTCAGTGTTCAGTGCCAGGACTGCCGGTTGCATAAACCTGTCAAGCATTTCTCTCTTCCTGGCATTCCTTTCCTCTGTCTGCTTCATGTACAAAGCAGCTCTGTCCACAAGTTGTGAAGATGGTCTGTGGCAGCACAGCTGACAAAGGTCACTTCTGACACTAAACCACAGCCCATCTGGTCACACCTGGGTCATGGGCCCAATTCCTGCAGCCAGAGATGAGTCTACGTCATCCCCACCCCACCTCCTCCCAACCATGCAATCTGAATGATAAAGGAGCGGTTTACCACTACAGCCCTGGAAAAAATATTTAGGGGTATTTATTTTTGTAGTTGATATCAGGGAAGAAAATGTAAAGGCAAATTACCTTTAACCATATAAAACTACTTTTTATTTACATGAGAGGAAGATCCAGGAAGATCTTCCACCTACTGGTTGACCATAACCGCCAGAGCAGGACCAGACAAAAACCACAAACCTGGGAACTTCTGCCAGTTCTCCCACATGGGCGCAGGGGCCCAAGGAGGACCAGGCCAGCCTTGGGTAAGAGCTTAGCCCTTGTGAGCTACAATGCTGGCCCCGCAAACACGTCTTTTAAGGCAGTTATCAGAAAACATGAGTGGCTGTGAGCAATAATCCAAAGGAGAAATTAACAAAACTAGAATATAGTCATTCAGTTAGGGCCAGCCCCTTGGCTGAACTGACTAATCCTTCACATCCAAGCGCCAGCATCCCATACAGACACTAGTTCTTGTCCCAGCTGCTGCACTTCCCCTCCAGCTCCCTGCTTGTGTCCTGGGAAGGTATTCGAGGATGGCCCAAAGCCTGCGCCCACATGGGAGACCTGGAAGAAACTCCTGGCTTAAGATCAACTCAACTCTGGCCGTTGGAGCCACTTGGGGAGTGAATTAGTGGATGGAGAATCTTCCTGTGTATCCTTTCTGTATATCTGCCTTTCCAATAAAAATAAATAAAGTATTTTTAAAGGTAATTCAACTAGTACTAGGGTGAATGAACGTTTCTGGTCACTTTTTGTTTTGTTTTGTTTTGTTTTGAAAGTTTCATTTATGTGAAAGTAACAGAGATCGCAAAGAGATGGCCATGGCTGGGCCAAGTTGAAGCCAGGAGCTGCTTTTCTGTCTCCAGGTGAGTTCAAGTGCATTAGCAAGGAGCCGGAACAGAAGTGGAGCAGCCAGGACGCAAATAGCACCTATATGGGATACAGTTTTAGCTTGCTCCGGTGGCCACTCCCTTTAAAGAAGCAGGTCCAAAGCAGGCAAACCCAAGGCTCAAAGTGTTGATTACACACCCAGAAAGCAATGGCAAAAATCCTGAACACTGGAGAGAGGGCTAGGCAGGACTTCAGCCCTGACTATCCCCTGAGGACGCAGGCTTCCATTGCAGCTCCCCGCCCCCGGGCCCCTGCTGAGCCGCATCCTGTATCTCCTTTAACTCCTCTCCTGTCCCCTCACTCCTGCCATTGCATCGTCAAAAGGAAAATCCGCAGGAGGAACCTCTTACCTCTACTACCCGCGCCCCGGGACCCACCTCGCAAAGCGTCCCAGCCCGCTTTTTCGTTTGGACTCCTCAGGTCGAGGGATCCCCAAAACCCTCGGTTTGGAAGCTGGGCTGCATGCCCCGGGAGAGGAAAGGAGACTCTTCCAAGGGCACTCAAGGTACTGAGATACGGAGAGGCGGGCTCCCGGGCCCAGAACCTTGCAGGGATTCTAGGTGGCAACGGAGGGACGTTCTGACCGGTGCTGGAGGACCGGGTCCTGGACCCAGGCGCCCAGCGGGCGGGGCGCTGAGGCTGGCAGGTGCAGCGGCCTCCGGGCAGCAGGGGGCGACCTCGCTCGCTCCCGCCGCACTCCGCGATCTGCGCCTTCCCGGGTGACCTCGGCGACCTCCGGCGGCAGGCGGCGTCAGCCGGGCATGGCGGCGTGGGGCCCGGCCGTGGCAACGCGTCTGCTCCGCGTTATCCGCGGGGTGAGCGCGGGCGGGACCGGAGTGCTGCTCCCGGGTGGGAGCTGCGGCGGGGCGGCAGGGCCGGCCGCTGCAAGGGCTCGAGGACCGGACTGCCTTGCTTGCTTCTCCATGCCCCCCGCCCCGTCCCTCATTCATTCATTCCTTCAGTTGTTCTGCTTGGCAGCCTGTGGGGCCCCGGCGCCATCTGGGGGCGCTCCGGAGGTGGGGGCTCCGGGGACACGAGAGCCGGGGATGCAGGGTCGCGGCTCCCAGAGGAGGCGTGGGGTGTCTGGGACTGCCTAGGGGCTGGGGCTCGGGCTCGGACCGGGACCCTCGTGGGGGGGGAGGGCCCAGCAGAGGGCTTTGGCCACGCGCTCACCTGACCCCCTGTCCCCGATAGGGATGCCTTACCTCTCAGCTCATCCACTTCTGTGCTTTCCCGCTGCTGGTTCAAGTTGTTTTTAAAACAGAGACGGCTCTGATCTGCTGACTCACCACCCTCCACCCCCACTGCCAGAATGCGGGTCATGGCCCAGACTGGACTAAGTTAAAAGCCAGGAACGCAGTCCAGGCCTGCCGCGTGGGTGGCATATACCCATCACTGGGCCTCCACTGCTGCCTCCTAGGCTCTGTGTTAGCAGGAACGCTGAAGTTGGGAGCCAGGGCCAGGAACAGAACGCAAGTCCTCCTAAGTGGGACACAGGCTAGCCCCCCACCTGCCCCTGGTGCCTGCCTTCCTTCACTCTGGCCTCACCATGTCTCTATTCTTACAACAGCTCCACCGTTCTTCACATCCCCATCCCTTCTCCCAGTGGTCCTACCCAGGCTTACAGTGTCAGGTTTCCGACCAGCTGTACCTCCTACCTCGGTCTTTTCTCCTACCTCGGACATCGTCCTGTGCCTAGCAGGGTCTCTCTTGCCCAGGCCCTTCTCTGCTCCTGCATTCCTGTCGCATCGCGAGGGGCTGCCCTAGGGTCACCTCTGTTACAGGGTACCCCCAGTCTTCACCCTTCTGCCTGGTGGGGAGAAGGCCAGCACACAGGTTGCTTTCAACAGCCATGTGATGGCACTGTGTGCCGTCAGGCCAGGCCAGTGGGTGGACAGCTCTGGGGTCAGCCAGCACCCATGCCCAGCCAGGGGCCAGTGCCTGGCATGTCTTCCCTCATGATGCCTCTTGCAGGGCGCTGTGTTCTGTAGCTTAGTTTGCTGCCAAGAACCTGGGCTACATCACCTGAGGTCACCTCACCTGTCCTTTATTATTGTTGTTGTTGATGTGAAAAGTAGAGTGATAAGGAGAAACAGAGAGAGAAAAGGAGATCTCCCATCCCCTGGTTCACTTTCAAAACAGCTGGGGCTGGGTCGGGGTGAAACCAGGAGCCAGGAGCTTCATCCTGCTCTCCTGGAAGCTCACCTGTCTTATACAGGGTTCGAGGCCTGGCCTGCCCCTGGCTCACCACCCATTCCAGCATATGCTAGACCTGGCTGTGTGACTGCCAACCTGGTTTTCTGTTGCTTCACCCCTAAGGGTTGACACCTGTTTCATCAGAGGCACGGATGCCCTGCTACCATAGAGGGGGTGGAGCTGTAGGTGTTGGTGACAGTGAGTGAGCTAATGGTGTCCCTGTTGGGGTCCAGTGATGGAATTGTGCCTCCACCCCTGTGGGAAGGCCAGGGCTGGGGATGTGCATCCTGTTCATTCCAGGAAGGGTGAGATTGCGTCCTTCATGGCTCTGCAGCTAACAGAGGGCTCCAGCTCTGGGCCCAGTAGCTCAGCCCTCCTGCAATAGGGCCTAGCAGTGAGCAATCAGATGGCTGCTGAATCATTTGGGGGCCTCATCGTTTCCAGACTTGGAGGGAGTGCTTTACAGGAATCACCCCTGCCTCCTGCTCCCCAAAATCTGTTCTGTGGCCTGGAGAGCTTGCCTTGCCCCCAGCCGCCTGGATGTGGTCCCTGGCTGCACTGGTGAGGGCCCAGGAGCCTGCTCTGTGTATCTCCCCTGGGGGAGGTTGGCTGTGACGCTCTGCTCTCTTCTCCAGCAGTTTCCTCTTGGCTGTGTCCGGCGCACATTGGCCTCCCAGACCGAGGGGGAACTCAAAGTGACCCAGATTCTCAAAGACAAGTTTCCTCGAGCTACAGTGATCCAAGTCACAGACATCTCTGGTAAGGCTTTCTCTCTGCTCTGCCCTCAGGGCCTGGAGGAAGGGCTTCCCTAGACGGTTTCCCTCTGGCCTGAGGAGGACTTCAACGGCTTCTGGGGAACTGGGTTGAGGTCCGACTGGGAGGACTCCAGGCTCTCTGCCTGGCCTGGCTCAGCCACCCCAGGGTTCAGGTCTGCGGCCATACAATTGACTGTGAGGTGGGACCTCCCCTAATCCCTCCCCACATACCCTCCTGACACCCTAGGATATCAGAGTTGCACTGCGCCCTAGGAAGGGTTTGTCCAACTGCCTCCTGTCCTTGGGAGGAACTAGACCCAGACAGGCAGCTGACCTACACTGCTCTGGGAAGGAGGCCATAGACGCCACCCAGGGCTCCACGTGGACTCTGTCCTGAGCCGAGTTACCAGCCCCAGCCTGACCTCGCCTCACTCTCGTAGCCGATGATGGCACAGGCTGGGCCAGGCTGGGGGAGATAGGCCCTTTATCCAAGCCCTCATGGGCTGCGGCAGCTGATAGGCGGGGACCTGAACCGCTCCCCACCTTGGCAGCACCACAGATGCTCACCAAGAGTGTGGCATTTGTAAAGATCCAGGAGGACACTGAGAAAGTAGGTTTTATTCTGGAAATAATGGGACATGAATTGATGGAAAGATCCACTTTGGGAAGGGTACCCTGAAGGGGGCTGTGCAGGGACCCTGCAGCCCCAGCCCTGTTCCTACCCCGGGCCCAGGGCAGAGCTGGGATCTGACGCTAGCCTGCTGGGCAGAGGACATTTCTCCAGCAGTAGCTGTACGTGCCCAGCATGGGAGCAATGTCTTCTGACCTCTCCTGGCAGCATCGGTGCCAGCTGCAGCCACAAGGAGCTGGAGTTTGGGCAAGGGAGTCTGCCATCAGGGCTTTGCTCCGGCCAGCTGGGGATGAAGTGCAGGATGCTGCGCTGCGGGCAGGGGGCGCCAGAGAGCCCTGGGGCCGTGAGCTTGCTTTCCTGGTGGCTTGAATTACACACACATTGTCAAATCAAATATAAGTGTATTTTTGCCCATTTAAAAGCTCTGATGCTGCTGCTTTGGAAGGTGCAACTCTGGAGTCCAGTCCTCTTCCTCTTTCATGCTGTTTATTTTCCAAGAAAATGGGACACCATTAACCCCACCTATGCATGGCCCACCCAACCTGAACTTGGGAACAAATCCATAAAGCCTGTCTCTATGCTTGACATATAGATTTTGGTTTTCTCATCATTATTTCCTAAGCACTACAGCTGTTTTTGTGACACTTGCATCATATATTATAAGTAACCTGGAGGTGATTCTTAAAAATATCATATTTGTTATAAATTTGAGAGGCAGACGGAGGAGAGGGAGAGAGTCCGATTTCCTGCCCGGGCCAGATTGGCAGCGGGGACCTTAGCCCGGCCTCTCGGCAGCTTTCCTTCCTGGAGCATCTCTGGGTAGGGGATGCTGGGACTTGGTCACAGAAATGCTTGTGACATGTGTTTCATTTTTAGGGGGTTGCGGGGCGATGTATGAGATCAAAATCGAGTCAGAAGAGTTCAAGGAGAAGAGAACCGTCCAGCAGCACCAGATGGTGAATCAGGTCAGTGTCCAGCCACGGGCCTGCTGAGCAGAGCCGGCCACACGCTCCCACCCTCGTGGGATCCAAGTGGGGGCAGATGGGCCCTGTATCCCAGTTATGACCCAAGCCACCCAGGGGGCAGTTGGCATTTCCAGTGTGATGCTGTTGATGTTTTCCATTACTGTCACGTACAGAAGAGGATTTATAAACAGGCAGTGCTACAAGGTGGCCCTTGAGCAAAGAGGGGAAGGTTTGAGGGCAAGGTGGCCTGGTGGGTGGACACCTTGAGACGTGGTGCAGTTGAACCTGGCTCCAGCTCGCCCAGGACATGACGTGTAAGCAGGCCAGGGTCCATGCTTGCTTCAGTTGGAGTTTGTACAACCTTGACTCTGGGCCTGCGTCCAGCCTCACCCTTCTGTGGCAGGTGCATTTGACATCACCTGCACACCCTTCACACGACTCTGCCCTGCTCTGTGGAGTTCAGGTATCCCTGGCAGCTGCTGTTCCAGGACCCCTGCCCTCTGCTACCTGCCTTCCTCCTGGCCGCCCACCACCTGCTGCTCTCTCAGCGTCAGCCTTTCCCCTGCTCCAAGCTACTGCACCAGCCCAAGCGCTACCTGTCCCTCCCCTGCAGCACACCCTCCACCTCACATCCTGGATACTTCCACACCCACCCTGCGTGTCCTGGAACCCCTTTGCCCTTTGGGATGTGGCTGAACTTTTCTCCTGCTTAGGGTCTGCTCCCAGCCCCAATACTTTCTCAGAGTTTGTCAGGAGCGGGATGAGTGGGGGAATCCGGTGGCCTCAGCAGATGCATCAGACTTTCAGGTTGTGGGGACGAGGCATGGGCCATGGTGACACTTTCCTCCTTGATCTTGCCAGGTCACCCTTGTGACTAGGGGCTCATCATGGCCCCTAGAATCAGGACTAGGGCGTCCTAAGGACCTGCCTGACAATATCTAGTGCTGGAATCCATTCTTGTGTCCCTGAGAGAGGAGCGCCCCCTGCTGGTGGGAGGCTCCATCTGCCAGAGAGGACTTCCTGGGGCCCTTGGATTTGCCTCAGCCCCTGCACAACCACGGCTTCCCCAGCCTCATCCTTGCTTTGGGCCAGGCCCCAGGGAGCTGCCAGCAGGTGTAGATGAGGGGGCTGTGTGAGCACCAAGTTGGGTGAGGTGGGTTCTGAGCCTTGATTTCTCCACTGGCAGATTCCCCCGAGGTACAGGCTGTCGGGGCCTTGCTCTCTGCCCCTTCTGACACCAAAGCTATGCTTATCCCCTGCATAGAGCTTATCCCTGGGTGCCCTGGTTGTCTGCAAGCTTTACCATCTCCTGTGTGATCTGCCTAGGTCTTCCCCATATGCACCTGACTCAAGGCTGGGTCCCTGGGGGAACTGTAGACCTTCTTCCTCACCTTGCTGCCTGAGCCGGATGACAAAGTGCCTTGCTGTTCAACCCTTGCTGGGACCGGCTGCAGAGTGGTGGCTTCGCCTACACCACAGCAGGCCTGGACTCTGCTCTTTTGTGAGCTTGTGTTACTTCCGTCTTTCTGCTGTGACTTTTCCTCTATGTCCCTAACACATTGTTATGGGCACAGCTGATGCGAACAGTATTTATCCTACACCTTCCTGCCCTTGAGATGTTGGCCAGTCCACTTGCCCAACCTACCCAACCAGGGCCTCAGTTTGTTCATCTGTGAAGCAACCCAGGTGGTGTCTCAGGAGTTACTGTGCTGTGGCTGGGCAGCCCTGGGAGCGGCCAGGGGAAGACACTGGGAAGGGCCACGTGCTTGGCCCAAGGAGGCAGAGCCTGGGGATCCCCCGTGCCCAGGCCCCCACCTGGCTGGGGAGGCTGCCTGTGCTCAGGTGACCCCAGAGCGTGTGCTCCCTGGGCAGCAGTAAAGGGAGATCCACTCTTGAGTGCAGAGAGCAGGGCGCAGTACAGGTCAGACGGGTCCACACAGGAACTCAGTTGAAGGTAGGGCAGCCATCTCAGAATACCTGAGCTCAGATCTTGGTTCTGTGGGCTTTGGACAAGGGTAGACTTTTTTTTTTGGCTTTTAATAAAATAAGGAGCTAGGCGTGGAATGTCTAAGGATCCTTCCTTCTGAGCCTGTAAACTGAGCATGTGTTGGGCTTGTGGGTGTGACAGAGTTCAAAGTTCAACTAGCCTGAGCAAACCCTGGGAATGAATGGGCCCATGGAATGCAGTCATTTGGTTTCTGGCACAACCAGACTCGAGGTCTTTAACCTTCAGCTTCTGTGTGCTGGCATCGTTTTTCTCCCATTGGAAACAGGGTTTCTCTCCTCAGTGGGGGACATGGCCCCAGCCACCTCCCACTGACATTATTCCAGCAGTGTGTTTGAGACACTCGCCATCCGTGTTGCTTAAAGACAGGAGGCTGGAGTATGCCTATATGTTAGTGAGAGGCATTTTTATATTGATTCACAACGGACTAACTGCAGCGGTCCCTGAAGATGGGAGTGGGAACAGGGAACATGGAGGAGAGGCATGGGGAGACCTCCCTGCAGGCCTTTTTATACTATTTCATTAAACACACACACACACACACACACCAAAAAAAAAAAAAAAAAAACCCACAATATTTATTTACTTGAAAGGCAAAGTTACAGAGAAAGAGAAAGGGACAGTGAGAGAGAGAGCTTTCATGGTTCACTTCCCAGAAGTATGCCATGGCCAGAGCTAAGCCAGTCCAAAGCCAGGAGCCAGGAGCTTCCTCCAAGGCTCCTACATAGCTGCATGGGCCCAAGGACTTGGGACATTCTCTGCTACCTTTCCGGGTCATTAGCAGGGAGCTGGATGGGAAGTGAAGCAGCTGGGGCACAAAACTAGTATTAGTATGGGATTACTATATCCCAGGCATCAGCCTGATTTACTCCTCCACAACACTAGTACCCTGTATCTTTTGAATTTTAAGTCACATTAGATATTTACTCCAAAAAGAGGGTCTGGTGCAGTAGACTAATGGCTAAAGTCCTTGCCTTGAATGCGCCAGGATCCAATATAGGTGCCAGTTCATATCCAGGCTGCCCCACTTCCCTTCCAGCTCCCTGCTTGTGGCCTGAAAAACCAGCGGAGGACAATCCAAAGCCTTGGGACCCTGCACCTGCGTGGGAGACCTGAAAGAAGCTCCTGGCTCCTGGCTTTGGATCGGTTCAGCATCAGCTGTTCCGGCTACTTGGGGAATGAACCAACAGATGGAAGCTCTTTCTCTCTGTATCTCCTTCTCTCTGTAAATCTGGCTTTTCAATAAAAATAAATAAACAAATCTTTTTAAACAAATGGTTTTCCCACAAAAGGAAAAATTGGATAGTCTCAGTAGACACCGTCTGCTCTGCTTTAGGCACAGAGCCATGTGGGCAGGTGTGCAGTCAGCGTCCGGTGTACAGAAGGTCCTGACACTCTCCCATCTCCACAGGCACTCAAAGACGAAATCAAGGCAATGCACGGCCTCCGGATATTCACCTCCGTCCCCCGAAGCTGACCACCCTGCCATGTGCCTGTGCGCACCCTGCTGGTCCTACAAGATCCTGTTCTTTCCCAGGGATTTGCCACAGCAAGGAGTTTATCTATTTTGCTCATAGAGGTTTCCATATTGTAACTCTAGAAGCTCTGTTGAGAGGTCAAATAAAGGCTGCAACCACGGAAGACCTGGAAGCGTCAGTTGTGATGCTACGAGGTGCCGCGAGTGAAAAGTCGTGTCCCTCTGTCCTGGTGGTCTTGCCCCCTTTTCTGCTGTCCCACTGCCACGGCAGGAAGGAGCAGTTTCTCATCACTCCCTCCCTCTGAAACTGTGTATGCCCTTTCCTCTGCCCCAGAGGGAAGAGTCCCGGTTGGCTCTTGCTGTCCTTGGTGCCAGTCCCTCCTGCCCCATCTAGATGTCCTGGATCCTTAGTTTCTTACACTGTATCAACTGATGATTTGAGATGTCCAGCTCTGAGTCCTCTTCCTGTGTGACCCCCACCTTCTTCTGCATCCAGGTATAGGGTAGAGCCTGCTTCCCACAATGGAAACCAGGAGGGCTTGTCCGGCCTTCCTTGCAGCTAAGGCATAGGCCATCTTAACTCAACCGATGCAACAGGGCTGCCCTGGACTTGGCAAGTGAGAGATGCTGAGAAGAAGAGGGGCTTCGGGCACCCATGTGGGCAGCTGTAGCCAGCACGACTCTGGACCTGGATTTTGGGGAGCAGCACAAATTTATGTTCCCGTGCTGTACCCTGTTTTGTGGTTTACCCATGTTCCCTAGCTACACGGTGCGGTCGGAACGACTGGCATGCCATCTGGCCAGACCTCGTCTCACTGGGTGTAGAGCTGCTCTCAATATCAGAGTTAGAGAGACTGGACGAAGCTGAGGGGACTACACTGCCATGGGCAGAGCTCCCCACCCCCAAAGACAGCTGTGTTGTTGACTTATTATTGAAGAGAGAGTAATCTCCATCCTCTCGTTCACTCCCCAAATACCCACAAGAGCCTCGGGCGGTCCAGGCCAAAGCTGGGCAGGAACTCAGTCAGGGTTTCTCCCAGGAAAGCGTGGGGGCTCCAGCCCCTGAGGTATCCCCACTGCTCTCCACGTGGGCCTTGACAGCAGAACTCGAGCCAGGACTTGATCCCAGGCACCCTGACATCCAAAACAGTGTCTTCGCCACTGTGCTGAACGTCTGCCCCAGAGGCTGCTTTCTGGTGGTGTGGCGAGCAGGCCCACGGGATTGCAGTCCCAGTGACCAGCAGGAAGGCAGCGGTGGGCGAGAATGGAGAGAGCAGAGGATTAGGCAGGCACCCGGGGCCTGACACAGAAGCCTGGGTCCTTGTGAGCACAGCTCACTACTGTCACCTGCTTTCTTTTCTTTTTTCCCTTCCTCCCTCCCTTCCTTCTTTCCTTCCTTCCTTCATTCTTTCTTCCCTCCCTCTTTTTTTTTAAAAAATGATTTATTTATTTTTTATTGCACAGTCAGATATACAGAGAAGAGGAAAGACAGGAAGATCTTCTGTCCAATGATTCATTCCCAAAGAGCTCGCAACGGCTGGTGCTGCACTGATCCAAAGCCAGGAGCCAGGAGCTTCTTCCGGGTATCCCACACAAGTGCAGGGTCCCAAGGCTTTGGGTCATCCTTGACTGCTTTCCCAGGCCACAAGCAGGGAAGCTGGATGGGAAGTGAGGCTGCTGGGACATGAACAGACGCCCACATGGAATCCTGAAGCATTCAAGGCGAGGACTTTAGCTGTTAGGCCACCGCGTCAGGCCCAGTCATTAAGTTTTGAGGCAGGCTGTTGAAATATTTATCTTGGAGGTATAAAGACAGAGTTTGCTCCTTAAATGCCCACTATGCCTGGGGTTGGGACCCTCCCAAGCCAGTAGCCGGAGACCCAACCCAGGTCTCCTACATAGGTGCTGAGGGCCCAACCACCTGAGCTGTTGCCTGCTGTCTCCCAGGATGTGCAGAAGCAGGAATGCTGGCCGCGGGACAAAGCCAGGACTTGAAGCCAGGCCCTCTACCTGCCTGCATCCTGAGTGCTGGTTCAGCTGCTGGGTCTGGATGAAATGGATGAGTTTGTACGTTATCAGAAGGACACTGGGGTCCCTCACTTATTAATGACAGGGTTGGAGAACTGGGCAGCTGTGGGATAGGGCTCAGCTATACCCTCATCCCCTCCTGGGCTCCTGTATGCTTCTCTGCTATCTCCATGTGACCATCCCACTCTGGACTGGCTCCACTGGCGAGTGGGAGATCGGCGTGGGCAGGCCATAGGACAGACTGCTCTCCGGTTTCAGGGAAGGTGTCTGGCCCACCCTGAATCACCTGGTCAGGACAGATCAGCCGGAGGCCTGCATCCTGTCCATGGTGATGGTGGCCTCGGAGGGAGGAGGAGCCATGCAAGTGGGGCTGCTGGTCTCCAGAGAAGGGGCTGGGCCAAGGCAGTAGGTGTCTGGGCTCCGCCCACAGGCCCTCTGGGCAGGGGAGTATGTCAGCCCATCTCTTTTGCACCTGACAAGCGAAAGCTGTTTTTTGTTTTGTTTTTGTAGGATTTGTTTATTTACCCATATGGGTGTATCGGAGCCACATGCTAAGCACTGGCAGGGAGAGGGGTGTACGTGATCCTGCACCTCCACTGCAGCTGCAGGAATGTAAAGGTCGTGGGGGAGGGGGAAAGTCACATAGAGGATACCCCTCCAGACAAGGCAGTCAGAATGGCAACAATTGACATCAAGGAATGCCTTGGGTCACTTTGTGAGCAGCCTTTATTGTGTTAGAACAGTTTGAGCTGGCAAACAGGTTCTGGAGAGAGCTCAGAGTCCGCACGCAATCCCTCTGCAGCGTCCAACCCTGCACGGCACACCCATTGCCATCAGTCACACACTTTTTTTTTTTTAAAGATTTTATTTTATTTTTATTGGAAAGGCAGATATACAGAGGAGGACAGAGAGGAAAGTCTTCTATCTGATGATTCACTCCCCAAGTGGCCACAACCACTAGAGCTGCACCAATACGAAGCCAGGAGCTAGGAGCCTCCTCCAGGTCCCCCATGTGGATGCAGGGTCCCAAGGCTTTGGGCCGTCCTTGACTGCATTCCCAGGCCACAAGCAGGGAGCTGGATGGAAGCAGGGCTGCCAGGATTAGAATGGACACCCATATGGGATTCTGGCGCATTCAAGGCGAGGACTTTAGCCACTAGGCTACTGCACTGGACCCAACACACTCTTTCTAAAGAGTTAATATTTTTATTTGAAAGCATTACAGAGAGGAGAGAAAAATCTTCTATTTGCTGGTTCACTCCCAAAATGGCTGCAACAGCCAGAGCTGAGTTGATTTGAAGCTGGAAGCCAGGAGCTTTTTTTGGGGGGGGGGGTGTCCCACGTGGATCAGCGACCCAAGCGCTTGGACCATTTCCCCCTGTTTTCTAGGCCATTAGCAGGGAGCTGGATGGAAGTGGAGCCCACTGGGACTCGAACTGGCGTCTATATGGATGCTGGCACTGCATGCTGAGGCTTAGCCTGATGTGCACGGGGCCAGCCCTCCATTTGCCTTTCTTTCCCTGCGTATGGCATATTTATTTTTATGAACAGCCATAAGGTGCCTTTGGCCTGGCCCTTTCTTGAATGTGACCTCAGATTTGCTCTCTCCATTGCAACCTGAAAGAGGTAGCTAGCGCTTCCTGGGCCGGGTGCAATCCTCCTTGGGCCAGCTGCGCGAGCTTCTGCGCCTGCGCTCAGCAGCCTGCCCGCAGCATCCTGCCCGCTTCTCCCCACCATGCCCATGCCCTTCCCCTGCGGCTCGACCTCTTCAAGCCCCAGTTTTCATGGCTACAGGTGTTTTGTTGTGTTTTAAATATTTATTTTTAAAGATGTGTGTTCTTATTTGAGGCAGGTTGACACAGAAAAGGAGAGACAGCAAACTTTCATCAGCTGGGTCACTCCCCAAATAACCACAGCAGCCAGGGCTGGGCCAGGCTGAAGGTTGCGGGAAGCGGCCCACTGAGGCCGGGGTGGTGAGCGGAGGAAGAAGCTCCCCCCGAGCAGCCAGGGCACGCAGAGCTGGGTTCACGGAGCGGGGCTGTGAGGGAAACAGCGGGCAGAACAAGCCCGGGGGAAGAGCAGAACATGGCTGCCGGACAACTGCGCAGTCCCGGAACCACACATGCACGCAGGCCGGAAGAGAGTGGACGCCAGCCAATCAGTGGTGGTGGTTGGGAGGGCGGTTGGGCAGGCCGGGGCGGGGTGGCTACATAAGGCCGAGCCCGTGGGGCCGAGGCCCAGTGAACCTCTCCAAGCCCAGTACCTCCATCCTCTCAGATGCCAAAACCACCGGACCAAGTTCGGCCTGAGACCCTCCAGAACCGTAAGCCACGCGAGCCCCGGGTCCCCAGTCTCCCTTGAGCGGGTGTGTCTATGGAAGAAAGCTGCCCACCCTCCGCCTCTTGCGCCCTGCCTCCGCGGGTGACCCGGAGGCTGTGGCCAGCTTTGGGGACGCTGCTGGCACACCTGCCCCTTGGGCCGCGGGTCTGGAAGAAGCAATGAGCCTCCAGCTGGGGGGTGGGGGTGGGGGTGGGGGTGGTGTGTGTGTGTGTGTGTGTGTGTGTGTGTGTGTGTGTGTGTGTCCGTCCGTCCGTCCGTCCGTCCGTCCGTCCGTGTCCGCGCGCGCGTGGGGGGCGCTGGGCGTCTGTTTCTACCTCTGCTTGTAAAGTTGTGGGCCAACCGTGGCCTCCCTTATTGGGCCTCAGCCACCTGGCTGCCTCCCGGGGCAGGTGGCCTTGGCCGAGGCCGGTGTGGCGGTGCGGGCGAGCAGGCTGAGCGCCCTGCGGGGGCGCCTGGGCCTCGGGCCTCGGGCCTCGTCTGAGCGCTCTGCGGGTTCGCTATGCCGGTTCGCTAGCTGCCAAAGCAGGCGGGGCTTTGCACAGCTGAGGGCAATCTGAGTCCTTTACTAGTCCGGAGGCGAGGAGCTGCTTGGGGAACGGCGAAGCGCTGGTTTTTCCAAGGCGGTCCCAGCTGGGACCCTGGGACAGAAGCGCTGCCGAGGGGAGGTCCTTGCTGCTGCGGGGGCGCCCCGGGGAGGAGCGTGGAGGGCCAAGCTGCTGGCCCTGGGGAACCGGAGGTGGCCCGGCCGGCTCTGAGTAGCCTGAGTCCCTCTGATCTCCCCTCTTCGTTTCGCCTT